TAACGAGCTGCAAGATTCCATTCAGAGCCAGACCTGGCCACGAAGTAGGAGGCCACATTCCCGACACCGGCAGAGGAGCTGCAGCTCCTGAAGTGTAGAATGGAATCACCCCAAGAGTGGCGTACACGGGGACTGCGCCAAGTTCGTAGAGAGCGCGGGCGCCACCAGGGAAGACATCGACAAGAAGAGCGTCAGCAGCGAAGTCGGCCAGAATAGCTCGATAGTCGGCAACTTGAGCCAAGAGACGCATCGCATGTCGACGAAACTCTCGGTCGAGGAGGCCTGTGGAATTCTCGCTTTGAAACGATGCGTCAATTACAGCGATGGCTCGAGTCTCACTGAAGGTTGCTCCAGTGGCTAGAACGCGATGCTTGTGTTCCGCACTGGCCAGCCAAACAACTTCGTGGCCGCGATGCACGAGGGCTTGGGCAACGGCCTGCATTGGGTAGACATGGCCCGCTGGAAAATGAGAATGAAGAAGAAACTTCATCGCGGCTGTTAAGGAGCGCCCGAGTCGAGAAACTCGACGGGCTTGAGAGGTGTTGTTTCTGGGGCACTTTGGTGTGTAGGCTACGTTCGCGGGGCTCGGATGGTGTTTTTGGCTGCTGATGTTTGATGGTGCTGATGCGTGAGGGATGGGCGTTGAAGAAGACTGAGCACAACAACACAACAGTCCAAATAGCAGAAAAGTTGAAGTCAATGAGGTCTATTTGACTACCCTGAATGTTAAAATACGACTGCGATATATACTCAGTAGCTGCTAGGAATAATTCGTCGTGAAATAGATTCTCTTGATACATTTGACGGTTACCCTACTGTAGAAACAGAATTGTGGCAATAGTACATATATGGAAACGAAGCCCTGGCAGAGCTGAGGCTGGAATCGAATTATGTCTGTAATAGAGTTATATTGTCCAGGGAAATATTTTTGCCCATGGGAAATAATTCGAGAGATCTTCCGAAGATCAATACTTACAAGGGTTACCTTCTTGCCTCGAATCAATTCTAACGATGAAGTTGAACAAACATGACGGTAGCTGAATCGAGCTCTGAATACCCATGCATCAAAGGAACTTTTCGTTTCTTTGTTACTTTCAAGCTGGCCTATAATAGATATGGAAGAAGATCACTTATCTCCCATTTTTCCTTTCGGTCGCCGCTTACTCCCAAGCAGATAGATACATGTAGATTTGGATCGAGAAAACGAGAAGTTGTACGCGAACAAAATACGCTGTGGGAAGAAACTTGGGAGATTTTGGAACAGACAGTGGTCAATGAATATAGTCATCTACAAATGCTAATCTTGGCATGGCCTTTTCCATTGCTGCCGTGACAATGCGCAAGGGAGGAAACAAATTTAAGTCTAGCGGATGAGATATCCTGCCTTCTTTGTGTGGAAAAAAAAAAAAAAAAAAAGGCTCTGGCCTCAGCACCTCCAGTCGCTCTTGTTCATCCAATATTCCCACACCTACGATCATATCCAAACTCTTCGATGTTCAAGTAGCCTCCAGAATGTGCTGCGACGAAGGTACGGCTTCTTCGCACCGGATGGACCTTGGCCTCGATAGGCACCCCGTCACTTCAGCTGCCCCGTCGCCTGATGAGAGCGCCATGCGAAGAAGAGAGAATTTTGTGGTCGCTCCCAAGTCGTTGTCAGAGCGCATCATATGGGGTGAGAGTAGGCGAAATAGAGCAGTCTTTCCTATTTCCCCTGAAGATCTCAATCGAGGATCAACAAAGATCTCTTCAATCAGCTTTGACGAAGGCACGTTCGTTAACCAAAGTTGATTAGACTCTTGGATAGGCGAAAAGAGTCACGGCAGAGAATGGGATCACAGAGACTCACTCGTTCCGATTCAGGACTAGGAGACTCTCTGCCGAAAAGTCAAAGACCGTTAGCAAGGCTGTCACCGGTGAAGTTTTCCGTCATTTCCTGGACAACCTCTTGTTGGCCGAATATTGGGGGAGCGTCGGAACTTTCGGCTTGTAATGATCTTGGACCTATTGCTGTCAACATAGGCATAAGTACCATTCAATGTTGGAAGATGGTGGGCATTGAAAAAACCTTTGACCGATTTATTTTGACGCAACATTGAAAGTGGCTCACGGAGAGTCAAAGAAACAACTTGCTATTTAGAAGCAAGATTTTGGCGAAAAGGGGGGGAAATAACACAGAGGGATCCAAGAGGGAACGCTCAAAGGCCAGAGAAGAGATTACGAGAAAGGTTCAGACAGACAAGGTGCAGATAGGACAGTATTGGGAGGTCGTATATGGTGCAGAATAGTTGAGCAAATCAAGTGGAATGAAGTGACGATAGAGAAAGAAGACTCGATACGAAAAAGAGGAGGAAAGAAACTCGAAGACAAACGCTGCTGCGTAGAGAGATGACAAGAAGGGAAATCGAGAAAGACAGAGAAAATCGCACTCGAATTTGGGATCAAATGTTGGTAGGAAGTTGCTACAGAAGGGGGCCTTAGGGGAGATAGAGCCTGTGGGGAGACAGGACAGAAGAACACTTGCCTCACCTCTGATTTACCACAAGATTGTTTGAAAGAAATTGCAAAGCCTTGCTAGCAGAGAGATGACACGAATTATTAGAATAATAGACTGTTGTGCAAATTTTATCTTATCGAGGTTATTGAACAAATAACTTGGTTTGACCCTGTTGCCAATGGGGAGAACAAACGGTGCAAGACAGAGCACAGCGACACTCCACCAAATCTCCCCGAGCACCACTCCATCGTGATATCAAAATGTCAACGATTCATGCAGAGCAAAACAGAAGCAGATTGGTATATAGCACATGGGCATGATTTCAGGCAAAAGTACAGTGATATTACAGTTGGTGATATTCAGGGGCTACAATCTCAGGAGAGAAATACAAATTGTACTCGATGAAGAAGACAGCTACCAGAAATTCAGATGCATCACCATCGACACCAAGACTGAGAGTCGAGATGTGCCAATTGCTGAAGTCTCCTACACTGCACATCCAGAGGGGGGCGGCGGGGGGCTCAACACCAACTGAACCGCCTCCTCGAGGCCAACGGAATCCCAAAGAACACCATGGATGGAATATCAACACACCATCACAACTCGGGTACCAGAGTACTTGCTGCAGACAAACCGAATCTCTCCAATCATAATTCGAATCACAGAAAAACAAAACAAATCGACGTCATTGCCTTCACTTCGTTGCCAGATCAGTGACTGCAGCCTGAGGAGCTCACGTGAGGAGTGATCTGGGAGGGCCCCCCACCAACTACTTAAACCTCTCCTCTCCCCCTCCAACCCTTTCTTTCTTTTTCCTCTTTTCTTCTCCATGCACAGCCCGCCTCGGGGACAAGACTTGTCTTGACTTGTCTTGACTTGTCTTGTCCTCGAGGCGGATCTTCTCACGGAGGTCGGTGCTTCTACCCGATGATTCAAATGCAGGGGTGGCGCTCTGCATGGGAGATCCCAACAAGTTCGGCATACGCGCACTTCGGTCTGCTAGCCTTTCTGAGGGAATTGTCTGATTCACCAAGTGCAATGGAACCCTACTTCTACGGAAGTCAGTAAGACGCTTGGTGATGATGATCTCCCACACATGAGGGTACACTTTTTTTTTTTTCATTGAGTTCGAGGCTATACGCCTTGACTTGAAGAAGAAATTCTCACTTGGAAATCTGGCTTGCTGGCAGCAGCTACTGGCGTTGTTGTGTTTTGATGGTGGTGATGTTTTGAGTAGAGGAGTTGATGCAGCACAGCTCTCTTGACGACTGGATTTGCTTTGTAGATAGAGAGCAGGCATAGAGTACGATGCTAGATAGCTGAGATACTCCATGGTAGAGATATGAAGAAAATTGCATTTGCTGTTGTCTGTATTGCCGTTCGAGCGACGAAGGACATTATGGCACTTGGAAATGGCGAAGTCTAAAACCAAAATTCGCTCCGCCCATCTCCTCGATCTCCTCGGGCAAAGACAAAGACAAAGACACTGTTATTTCTAGAGCTAAGAGAAGGATACTTCCAAAGAGATCTGACGGTCATTACGATAAGCATTTCCATTCCTCTTCACCACCATGCTTCGACGACAGCACCATCTTTGGCGCTTCTCTGTACCAGTCAGACGACTGAGCCACCCAGAATTACCGGTACAGTCTTGGAGATTCAGGTAGAGCTACAAACGCGATTCAAGATCAAGATGGCTAAATATTTCTCTGGCTATTTGTAGACCCCCTAGATCCAAGCGACGGCGTGGCGATGCGGCGATGCGGCTTCTCTGTCGACCAAGCCGACCAAGGGCAGGTGGAAGGCTTGAGACGGATATGGACGTTTCCAAGCGCCAAAAAGATGGCCACGAGTCGAGGGAGAAGGAAGAGTCGCTGGGGAGATGGAGGCCAGCATCAGCCTTTGCGATAGCTTCACTGTTTGGAGTCAAATCACGTTGCTCCTGCTCTCTACCGCTAGATCACTTAGCACCAAATGCCAGGTTCGAGGATATCTTTATTATTTTGCGTCATCGATACCTCGGTTCAATATTTTTCTCTGCCGTCCATGTTTCTAGCTTCTGCCGGTAGAATCTTGACAAATCTTTCCGCTGGCCTTGGCCATTACTGCTAATTTCCAATGTGCCATATCGCAATCGTCTCCTGGGCCGAGATTGGAGAGCAGGGTCAGATAAAAAACCTGTCGCTTGGACATAGAAGGGGGATCTTGGAACTGAAATCTTGGCTGCGAGACTCTAGAACCAAGATGACCAGATGCTTGAGTAACAAGAGATTGACAATCTATTCACTAAAGCCAATCTATCTCGAAAATATCTTCTCAGAAGGGGACGCGGAATGACGAATTTGAGTCGACTTTTCCACAGCTTCGGGAAGATAACGAGAAAATCATCGCCAAAGAAGAGCAATAGAAGCCCAATAAACAAATCCAGCCGTGTTCCTCTTACAGTATGGAGACTGAAACATAGTACATTGCCTATATATTCTCCAGCCCAAATAAAATCCCCTCCCTAGCCCCCTGTTACAATTTCTAGAGATTTTGGCGTTGAGAAAAAGTGTAGACAGAGAGAAATGTTATTGAACTGCGACCCAGGTGGGAGTTCTTTCGTCGATCGGAAATTTCGCGGTGATTCTTGGAGGGCTTCTTCTTCGTTTAGGGAGGAATCGGATCGATGTTGTATTTCTCGTTGGCTTCGGAAGATGGAGTCTTTGGTCTGGTCGGGCGTGGACCTCGCAAGATCTAAGAAGCTGTCTAGAAAGCAAGACATCAGTACTAGGTATCCAAGCTGGAGAGGGAGAAAGAAAAGTGATAAGGCAGTCAGGGAAAGAGGCTATGGGCACAAAGCAATCAATAGCAGGCCCTCTTGACCGTATCGGAAACGTTGAGAGGCTTGCCAAACTCCAAAGTGGTGCAACGAGCCTCCCCCAAATCGCGGAGAGGGGGGGAGCCCTCTCTCGTGCCCTCTCTGACTTGGGAGCATGAACTGCGTAGAGGTTGGACTCTCTCCGTAGCTGTGCTATCAGATCAGTAGAGCGGACAGTACCTATTTGTAGGTAGGTAGGTAATGTTGAAACATTGCAGAAATTTGGGCACAAAGAAAGATTGGGAGCACCTGTTTGACAAAGTTCGTGAATTTTTTCCAACGGAGTGTGGCCACAGCGAGACAGTCGGACAAAGAAAAAAAAAAGTCGCTGTTGAACAACGAGGAAGAGATAAATGCGGGAGAAAAGAAATCGTTCAAAACGTCTGTTTCTATGCCATGATTCTAGCTACCTGTCCTATTTTGAGCAATGTTCAAAACAGTGTATCATCACGCATTCAAAAGCCTACGCACAGCGAAAAGGGTGAATGGGAAACGATTGGTATTTTATTTTCTCTCAATGGGCCCATTTTGAACCACAAAGAAACCCAAAGTCTAGTCCATGAAGAAGTCTGAAAAGATGGTGCCATACGACTGAACAGCCAAGTTTTCCCCGAAAATCTTCCTGCCAACAGAAAATGGCAACTGTGTTCACAATCTTTTTGATGCTGCAACGGTTCGTGGGGTTTTCCTTGTTCTGTCGTCTTGCAAGTGTCGCTATCTCGTATCAAAGAAGAAAAAAACCATGGTTCTGTTCATCATGTTCCGATATAGTGCCACCAGCAGCAACAACGTATCCCCCCTACATATCGTCTTCCTCCATGGGTTCCCCTATTTCGTCTCCTTCGGGATACGTCTCCACTAGGAGGGTCGTTGTATGCATTTCTTGGAGGTATAGTCGACCGAAAACATTTTGAATAGGGCTAACCTTCATGAGGATCAGCTGTCGAATCTTGATAACGATTCCCTCGTTCCTGGTGACTCGCAAAGTTGAGAAAAATTGTAGGTGGATGCACCCATCCACCTCCGTCTCGTCATCCTCGACTACGTCTTCCACCTCTCGTTCGACGTGGCTGGCCTCCATACTTCTTTGCTAAAGGAGTAAAATCTGATCTGCCGCCGAAATGGGCTCGTCCTCGTCATAGAAAAATTCAGTGGACGTATGAATCAAATGCGAGATAGCGAAAGGGCGTAGTCGGAAAGCTATCAGCGAATCGAATACGTCGAAGAATTCGCGAATAAAAGTTCTGCCGGGCGAGTCGGCGGGAGAACCAGCTGAGCTCATGACTGTGGTTATGTGTGTGAGATTGGTATTGGTAGTCGTCTTTTTCCGGTCGGTTATTAATAGTGGCTATAGGGAAATTGCGATGAAGTTGTTACGCAGGAGAAAGATGCGTTTCGAGGTTACATGTATTTCAGAGCGTCAGTTGCTGTCGAATATTGGGTACGATACAGCTGATCAGCAAGTGACAAGAGTCCACAGTCCCTATCCCATTGAAGGAATAATTTCGTATTCAGGCATGTAGAGGTGCAAACGCCGGGATACGCCCACAATGTCTGACCAAACAATTCATTCGGATGATTTCTATTCTACAATGAGATTTGAATCGGATTTTCTACACGCCTGGTCATGATCTATTTCATGGTCTAGACGGCAATTGTTGGCTTCACTGGGCTGACAACATGGCCCATGCAGCAAGTACACCAAAGATGGGATATAGAGATCGAATCTCGAACTACTGGATGTATATTGAACAGGAGACGAGTCTTTTGTATTAGAAATATAGCCTCATTTGTCTACCATTGTTGCCCTTGAGAATACGAATATACTCGGACTGTTGGCTTTGCAAGCGATGGACATGTTATTCCTCCTGACTTTGGAAGACGGACCACCTTGAGTGTAATCATTGCGTGCATAACTATTACCTCTGGACAAAGTAAACATAAGCTGAATACATAATGAATCTATGACATTTGAATGGAACAATGAATGAAGAACATTAGGCCAAGCCTCGATTAACAAAGCTAGCGGCGATTGGCAAACGAACTTCAATTGACAGGTAGTTGACTACGAGTTACTGGAAACATGCTTTAATCGGCATTGAACCCAAAGACTAAATACGCAGTATGTCACTTGGAGACAGCTTGCAGAAAATAGGACGGGGCGGTTTGTTGCTGTCTCTCAAGCAACGACACTCTCTCACATTTGAAACGCGCTTCAGAGGGTGGACACAAAGCGCTGCAATTTTGCTTCTAGCAAAACATCCCGCATTCGGCCAGTTCCATGCAAAACTCTATTGATATTACTGGCGATTCCTTTTTAGCATTTTTTTCCGCGGTCGCTAATGATTGACATCTTCATCATGACAGGTGAATGACATCACATGCCAATGCTGGTCGTATTTCTAGACAGCTTCCAGCAATTACTTCAGTGGTACGCAACTTACCTTTTCATCATCTAAAACAATCCAAGCATCCGAGACTGATCGAAATAACCCTAAAATGGCAGACAAAACCACAGATCAGGACCAAAGTCAACAAGTTTCGGCTGGCGACAAGCACAAAACCGAGGTGGAAAATCCAGACGCGAAGCGAACCAAGATCAAAACGGAAACATCTCTCGATGAAACCAACGAAAATGGCGACGAGGAAAAACAAAGCGCTTCTCAAGATGTGAAGCAAGAGCCAGAAGATTCCAAGGCTGACGTTAAATCTGAAGATGGCGCGACGTCTACGCCCAAATCAGACACAGACACTCCCTCAAGTATTCTCGAAAAGGGCATCATCTATTTCTTCATGCGAGGACGTGTAGATGTCGAAAAACCAGAGGAAGTGGGAGACATTGCGAGAACGTTTATTATTCTGAGGCCAATTCCACACGACGCAAAGCTGAGCGAGGGGCCACTTTCAGATGCTGGAAACTCGCGAATCCTCATTCTGCCAAAGAAAGTGCTTCCAGCCAGTGGCAGAGATCGTTTCATGGCGTTTGTGGAGAAGTCTGGGGCATCATATGATGAAATCAAGGGTCAGTTTCTCGCTGGTGAGGAATACGAGACCAAGACAAAAGGCACCAGACACACTCCAGCAGCCACACCAATAGGCGAAGGTGTCTATGCTATGACGACCACTAGGCGAGCGAGCCATCTTGCGTACATGATTACCATCCCAGAGAAGCTCGGCGAGGTCCAGAAAGACCTTGGAGTGAAAGAACAAGGAAGTTTCATCATCAGCACCAAGAACCCAAAATATCCAGCACCGGCTTCTGCCCGTCTTCCTAAAGGACCAGAGTATCCCAAAGAGTAGGCGCTAATCATTTTATTCTCCGATGACAAATGAATGCTAATCTGGTTATGCAGGATCCTCGAGGAATTCCGAGACTTGAGGTGGATTCCATCTCGGCCGAATCACCTTGACCACGACAATGCCCAAGTTCTGCTTATTGGAGAGTCATCTGGAATCAAGAAAGCCCTGGAGGTTCAGGAAGCCGACGAGGAGGCACCAAAACAAGAGCCTTTGGAGGAGATGGAGGAACTGGAAGAGAAAGACCTGAAACGAATGCACCAGCTATCGAGAGATCACTCTGAAGCAATTTACGCGGACTTGAAGGTTCATGCAGAGGACTACCCCAAGCTGCAGACTACCTTTTAGAAGGACTTGAGATGATTGCGCAATTATTTTTGGATGTTGCTTACTCGAGAAGAAGCCTCAGCGCATGGATACTTTCATGATAATATTAGAACTTCAAGGTTACGAGGCATGGACTTGCAACCACGCGCTGAGTCTCAGGAATAATTGCACGTGTATGTTGCGGGAATTGTTTCCAAGAATGTCTCCGGATATCTCTCTTGAGTCTTAGAAAATGTATGCATGTATCTTACAGAACTCGGACGTATCACCTAATGCTCAACACATCAAAGGACTTGGTAACTCCCGTCAATACGGAAGCTGCGGGAGCAGCACTCAGATTCGCCCAATCTGATGTTATCAAGCGCAGAGGTAGGATGGGGTGATAGGCTATAGCGATGGGAGATGGATGGCCATTAATTTGTCTATGTGACTCTTCAATCAAGATCCACAGCTAAGCAGAATGAATCATTCTTGCAATCAGTCCCTTTTTGCTTATGTCCTGCCACAATGGGCCTGGCCCAATAGCACAATCCGCCAAACATTTTCTCCAGCGGGAAAATTTCCGCGTCTTTTCAGAATGATCTGTGAGTCAAAATCTGTGCAGGGCATTTTTACTCTCGTCAGCAAAAGTCCTTTTGCAACGTTAGCCCGTTCTGGCAGAGTAGATGACTGTGCTAAGCTGGAACTAGGGCTGGAAGGGACTCGAGGTCGAGAGATAGTAGCGCGGGGTATCACTAATCTAGCCTCGACTCGGTGTGGGATGCTCTCAAACTGAAGGTGGGATATCCATGACTCACAGTCATGATCATTAGTAACATTACTAAATGGAGACTAGGGAAAGTATGATGAGATGAGACAGTTTAACAACAGACGAAAGAGGAGAATATTGACGCGATAGAAAGAAGCTGGAATCGAAGATTGGGGGATATAATAGAAGAAGATGAGGACGCAATCTCACAGAAAGATATCCATCGAATCAATCGAAACATCATCCGAAAATGTCTTCCTCCGCTTCCTTTGAGCCCATGCCGGCAACGGCCGCGGCTACAATTGCAAAATATCACATCATCACACCAGATATCGCAGGTCTTTTGGAGCTGGAGATTAGCCAGGCTGAACATCGCGTCAACCTCATCAACTTCTGGCAAATCGCTCCAGGCAGCCGAGTCCTCGAGATCGGATGTGGTCAAGGCACAACTACTGCAGTCTTGGCCGAAGCCGTTGGCCCCACTGGCCATGTTGATGCCGTAGACCCTGGTCCGCCAGAGTATGGATCTCCTTGGACACTTGCCCAGGCTCAAGAGCATCTCTCGGCCGGCGTGGTCGGTGACCGCATCTCGTGGAACTTTGCCGATCCGATCGACTACCTGGCTGAGAATGCCGACAAGTCGTGGGATTACGTTGTCTTTGCCCACTGCATCTGGTACTTTGATTCGCCTGCCACGCTCACCAAGATGCTGGGCGCTTTGAGGGGACGAGCCAAGACTCTTCTCATTGCGGAATATGCCCTCAAGGCGACGAAGACGAATGCCTTGCCGCATGTCCTTGCTTCGGTGGCCCGAGCCACTCTCGAGGCACACAACAAAAAGAGCATGGCCAACATCCGCTGTCTCTCCAGCCCCGGCGCCATCAGTGACGCTACAAAGGAGAATGGCTGGGTTCTTGATGAGGAGACTATTGTGGTGCCGGAGGAGGGACTCTTGGATGGTCACTGGGAGACGAGCACCGTCAAGAGTCCTAAATTTTTGGATGAAATTGAGAAGAAAGTTGAGGATGTAAAAGTCAAGGCGCTTTTGCGATCTGCTAGAGATGGGGTTATTGGAGTTTTGGACACTTTTGATTTGAAGAAGTCGTGGACTATGGATGTTTGGGTTGCCAAGTTCCACTGAAAGCGAAATAATTATGTCGCGAGAATGTCTGTGATCTATTTGTTTTTATCATCATAGCAATTGATACTCTATTGCAACAGTTCATAGCGAAATGCACAAAGATATACCTTATTTCTTCGTCCATTATAGTTCTTGAAAGAAGCAAAGTACACTCCCCAGGGCTCCGTATCTGGAATATTATACAGGTACTTTACTGGAATCTGCCTCTACCTCAGCTGAGTGATCATCCATGTATTTGTCTTCAAATGGCTTCTCTCCCATGCGCGACCAGCACATGGCAGACATAAGAGCCTCGTCCGTTTCCTTTGATGAAAAGAGTAGCTCAGATATCCCATCTCCGAGGTGGGTAACTGATCGATCCTAAGAAACCCTTTGTTAGCAAATGGAGAAGAGAGTGAAGATTTGTTCAAAGTCATAGCATACCAGCCCCAAAGTCAGTTTAATTATCCCGTCTACCCATTGGTTCTTGTAGATGTGGCGAGGCTTTTTGCCTGCAGCTGCAAGGACAATATTTTCCGCCACAACAGTTGCTTGGCGCGTCCCTGACCGAGAGTTTGGATTCGGAGTCTTGGTATCGGCAACGTCGCCGCATGTGTAGACATTCGGCAGAGAATCATCGTCTATTTGGAGGGTTGGCTTGACTTTGATGTGTCCCGTGGACGAGATCGAGTTGGGAGAAAGGTTGGCAATCACGTCGGAGAGTGGTCTTTGCCCGGCACAGTTCATCTATCGGGACTGATTAGTTCAAATAACGGAGAATTTTTGAAGACGCCAGGTGAACATACATAGAAATCGTACGAGATCTTTCGGCCAGATTTCAGGGTCACTACTTTCGAAGACGCATCTTCATCCACAACGCGGTCTTCGAGAATAAGCTCCACGCCTAGTCTTTCAAGGCCCTCTCGCGCAGCTTTTTGGAGGCCTCTGCCAAAACGATGCATCACTGCCGGTCTTGAGTGGACCAAGATGATATGCTTTTCTGGATAGAGGGCCTTGGCATCTGTGGCGACTTCGACTCCAGCGGCGCCCCCTCCAACGACGACGACTGTGTTGGCAGACTCGACTCCTTTTTGCATCCCTTGTAGAAGCTTCATTCCCTCGAGCTTGTCTGTGGCATTGACTCGCGATGGAAGGCCATCTTTGACTCCTGCTCCCGTAGCAATGACGAGGAATTCGTATGGGATTACCTCGCCGCTGTCCTGCAGCTTCACAGCTGTTCGATCAATGTTGGCGACCTTGTCCTTTACCCAGCGGTATGAGCCTTCTATGGCCCCTTTCATATTTCCCCCATAAGGAATGAAAGCTTTGTGTTCATGGCCTTGAACAACACAAAATCTCGGAAGCACCCAAGTGAATTGAAAATGACTGTTCGGCTCGATGACGACGACTCGATAGGGGCTTCGAGGAGGCAAAGCTTTCGCAACGATTTGAGCCACACGATAACCAGCAAAAGAAGCACCAACAATAACGATATTGCGAGTCCTTTTCTCCGCTCCTAAAGATCCAAACCAAGAGGCTTGTCGTCGTATGATGGCGGCTCCGAGAGCAAGTCGTAGCTCTGCCCAGATAACGTAGAGGGTATAACCCACAACTTTTGTATATAGTCCTGCCTTTTCCAGCATATTGAACTCACTCGTAGATACTTCTGTAGTATCTTTTCAAGAAGGTCAGAAAAGAAGATGGCGAAAGTTCACGGCGCTGCCATTGTCTTCATACAACCTCGAGGCGAGTGGAAGGGGTGAAAATGCCGAAAATCGCGTGTCGCGATCTCCGGACGGCCTCGTCCGAGTCCGACTCGGAGCTCCTCGAAGCACATGCTAATATTCAAGGTTCTTGTTAAAGCCATGCCCTGCAGGAGCTCGGGCGTGCCAAGCGGCCGATAGAGCAGTGGAGAGAGAATCCTTGGCCGCTGGTCTAACGCTAGCAGATGCGACTTCAGGGATGTTTTTGATCAAATGTGGACCAAGAAAAATTATCAGATGATCTGATAATCGCGCATCCATCTGTACTTGGCAGCTGATGTCCTTGTTGGTACAGGTTGGTAGTATGTGCTGTATTTGTTTCCACGTTTGAGAGCCAAATGCAGTAAATTAGGGTAGTATTTTATCTCAGAGTACATGTAAACTCCGGCCATGAGAAAATGAATTATTAATGCCAATATCCTACACCGTCAAGACCGTCTATGCTAGTTTTGGTGCAAGATCCGAGCCTCCAAACTCGGGATATCCCTTGGACTTCCACTCTGCGAAGCTCATTCCTCCGGCAAGAGACGGCATCTTGATCATAAGAGGGACTTCAATATCTTCCTCAGTCCCCAATACTTCAGCTTTATGTATAATCTTCTCGTCCAGTAGCTCAAAGCCCATCTTCTTGTACAAGCCGACTGTTGAAGGGGATGATTCGAAATAGACGGGAAGACCTGCCCTTTCACCCAGATCCAGTCCCCATTGCACGAGCAAGGCGCCGGCCTTGCGTCCTTGATGCCTCGGGTCGATGCCGATAACGTGGCAATCTAAACAAAAGTTCGGGTGTCATTAGAGGGAAAGTCGTTTCGCTTGGCATGCAACATCGCCAACAGCTGAGGCTGAAAATGTGGACCGAACATGGGTAAATTGACTTACAGATATAGCGTTTGCCTCCAAACAATCTTTCCCTCACCTCCCATAACGGATTCAGAATCTTTTCCGCTCTCTCGCGTTGTTCTCCTATGAGCCAGGGTACGCCGTGGTTCTTCCGCTCCTCCTCTGATCGCTCTGATAGGTAGACATCGCCGAGAGCCATGCCAATGATCTCTCCAGTGCTCGTATCAACACATTTGAAGGTGTATTGGGACCCGCTGGTATGCCAGTAGGCCAGTGTTCCGGCAGCGTGCGCTTTCTTGAACTCTTCGTCGATCACTCCGGGAAAGAGGATCTCGAGCATGATCTTCCCCATTTGGTCGTTTTGAAAGGCGTTGAAGTAGACATCGTAGACCTTGGGGATGTCTGGGATGAGCGCTGGGAGAACTACTTGAACCATGGTTAGGTTGTTGAGAGCTAATGTTTCGCTGTTTCTGAGAAGTTGTATAGCATCAACCACGCATGCTTGAGAGCGAAGGGATTATTCGTCATATTTATATCTTCGAGCCTGGCTTTTGAAGGTCCTTTTGAGGCCATGTCTGGAACTATTGACACGATGAAAAGTGATAGCAATCTTGGCATGTGGCGCACGGAGGCCGAGGAATCCAGCAAAACTTCGTTTTTGCGATGGCTAGACTCGGTGGAATCGTTCTCTAGTCACAAAATCTGGCGATGCCGAGCGTGCAAAGGCCAACCAAGGCTGACACTCTAGCTTGGAAGACGGGATGAACCTCGTGTTGAGCACCTGAAGCTGGTCAAATTTACTCAATAGCTTCCATTAGCGGCATGTATATCCGAAGGAAGCCAGGATGGGGAGCAAACCTTTAACTCTCCTTGAGACCGGGATAGCTTGCCGATCTCGCTCCGTATGGTGGCTCGTGGGTCACGTCAAAAGGCATTAAAGTTATCTGATCCGTTGCTGAATAGCGCCGTCAAATGCAGCTTGCGCAGAGCATCGGAATTGTTTCCGGGCGAGTGAGTGATAACGTTGGCTAAACCTGTGGGAAGCTTAGAACAAAAGCATAGGTGAGAGGTCGTGGAAATGTGTGCAGCGGTATGGGCAAATTCCCTACATACCTCTGCTTTCAGTACCTTTCCCAGGCTCGAATTTTCTCAGGGATATCTGAAAGTAAAAATGAACATCATTGGAGAAAAAACGGGGTTTTTTTTTCTCTCTCAGTGAAAATGTGAAAGAAGAAGCACATTGTGTTGTGGTCGTTCTTGGACTCCCGCAGAGAACAAACGCTGTTGGCGCTACGGGCTTCTTTGTGCAATCTGTTCAAACCACAAAAGACAGACGTGTTCGCGATTGGCAAGTACGGTTGAGGCAGAAAAACACCCATTTATAGCCAGAAGATCTGGCAAACTGCGCTACTCATGATATCGTTTTAGATATGGGAGCTGGGGGATGTCCCTTGAGCAAAATCACTAACGCGGGCCTCTTTCATTGCCCCTGCAACATCTTTTCCCAAAATGCGACAAAGAGACTCTACCGCAAGGCGTGACTACTGCGACATGGCATTTTGATATCATTCAATCGAGTTGTCAGATAAAATCCATGTCTAACCTTTAATATCTGGATTGTGTGTTGTGATATGCAGTGTAAGCGACGCATGCTTACCCCGTACATTGTGCAAGACATGAAGCTCTGAGAGGCAACAGATGGTGCGTCCCATAGGGATTAACGTTATTACTATGGTAGGTAATGCCCAAGCCAACAACCTGCAAAGGCCTTTGATGAGTTGACAAAGTCTTCTAATTGCCATACAACTACAGCTTTCAATTGACTCAATGCTGTCATAATTCTGTTGTCAAATAAACTTTCCACGTCAATTGATGTTCAACCAAACAAAGGGGTCTGGCCTCTTCTCTGGCAATGCCTCCAATCAACGTTAGATAATCCCGAACGCCGCTCAAGTTGACAGGTATACGATACTTGCAAATATATGATCCATTCCGAGTGCCTGCATGTACTGGGTTCAAGAGACCCCACCCCATCTAGGCATAGTAAGCTGCCTCACCAGGACATCCGCCAAAAAATGGAATCCCAGTCTTGATTGTGGCTGTGGGGGAAGAAAAAGGATCGCGGAATACGAACTTATTACGGAGTGCGACTCAACCGCGTCTTTGCCTTGGTTCTGGTTCTGTGCAAGGCTTAAGGCCATGTGCAGACAGCAATGGCGCTCTTCCCCAAGCCTGCGGAGACGCAGCATCTCGGGCTCTTCCTCTTGAACAAACGCCTGATCCGCATTTTCATCGGCGTCACCGTCTTCCTCCTCGTCGCCTTTGGGCTTCTCTGGCGCCGACAGCGTGATGTCTTTACGCCAACGCTGCTGCGTCCTATGGGCTTTAGCGAATCGGATGGCTTTTATCCATACGAGACAGTTAGCGACTACGATCCCGTGTCTCTCGATCCCACCAACAGATCGACCGAGGATCTTTGCGCAACGTTTCCCAAGCACCTGCTCAGTCTGATCCAGCCTGTGCTCAAGATTGGCCATGGCGAGGATCGCACAAAGCTCGATGCGCAGCTAGATAGCGTCAGTGCCTGCTTCCGACCCGACGAGCTGCTCATCTTCTCCGATCTCGACGAGCGCATCCGCAACCACACTGCCATCGACATTCTCGCGAACCTTCCATCCAAGTACTACGATCAAGAGTATAACCCAGATATTGGGAATTATCTTTTGCAGAAGGAATTGAGGCAGAATGGCACGCTGGACAAGGATAAGGAGGCGACGAAGCGTGTCAATGGCTGGATCATTGACAGGTACAAGTTTCTGCCACAGATAGAGCGTGCTTGGCTGCTGCGACCAGACAGGCCGTTTTACTTCTTCTACGAGACCGATACGTACGTGCATGTCAACGCTCAGCAAATGGAATGCTGGAGATGAAGGCGCTAACCACGCTGTTTTGCAGATATGTCGTGTGGGACACGGTATACCGGTTCCTCTCAACCTTCGATCCCGATACCCCAGTGTACATGGGCTCTCCGTCGCCTGGACGCCATGACATGAGCCGTGACGATCTCAAAACGTGGTTTGCCAATGGTGGCCCAGGCTTTGCCCTCAGCCGCGCAGCGGTCCAGGCGCTTATACACCGTGACGTGTCACCGCATGGTCAATACAGTGGACCGTCAGTCAGTGAAGAGTGGCTAGAACTGATCAAGGACGAGTGTTGCGGCGATAGTGTTGTTGGTTGGACTCTGTGGAATAATGGTGTGGCTTTGCAAGGTTATTGGCCTATGTTCAATCCTCACCCACTGCACGGAATTCCATTCAGCGACCGTTATTGGTGCCAGCCTATAATGACGCTGCACAAGACAACGCCAAAGGACATGGTTGAGGTTTGGAAATGGGAGTTTGGGCAAAGGAAGCAAAATGTATGTGGAAGGTTTCCCCCCTGCTCCGATTTCTCAACGGTCAAGATCTAACATTTGTCTATAGCGCCCATTACTGTACTCCGACTACTGGAATTTCCATCAGCCTGGCACAAACGGCATTTTGGAAAACTGGGATAACGGTGACTGGGATGCCTCCAAGTCTGGCCCGGACCAAGGAATTGATTCATTCGAGAAATGCGAGGAAGCGTGCAAAAAGGACAACACCTGTGTTCAGTGGAATTGGAGAGGAAGGGACGAAAAGGAATGCGTTCTTGCGCGATCGTTTAGGTATGGAGAAGCGCGACAGCCGGAACAGAGAGACGACAAGTGGGTAGATTTCAAATCTGGCTGGCTCAAGGATAGACTCGACGCATTTCGCAAAGAAAGGCAATGCGAAGTGGTGGAATGGGTTGGGCCGAGCATTACACGAGTGTTTTGAGCATTGATTGATGCGAAGAGAGAGCTATATACCCGTTGGCGCGATGCATGGACTTTTACGATTGGATGGATTTTACTGTATAGGATTGATATTAATAGGGGGTATTTAGATAAAATACGTATATAGCTAGATCATGTATAACTTTATCAATGTCGACATAGTATTTACATGGAACCTATGAGAACAATGCCAGCCGTCGGGTATCATTTCTATAAGAGAGGCGGCGTAATGTCCTCCAATCGCGAACATTTTTCTGTTTCAGTAGACGTAGCGGAAGTACGGATTCTCCTTGTCTGTGAGGTCTTGAAAAGCAAGCTTTGCTCGCTCAGCTTCATCCTCCGGCAAGCCCATCTTTTTCTTGTTCTCAGCCCGTAGCACAAAGTACAGTGTGGTCGATGCAACGATACAAATAATGTAACTGTACACAGCAAGTTAGCCAATTGTTTAATGAATGTGCCCATCGCTTCGACTAGATCGTCATACCATATTATTAAACCAAGCCACAAGGCAGGATAGTGTCGGCTCTTGGTTTGCGACCATATGAGTTGCGGGCCAACAATGTTTCCAACACAGTACGCAACGAATATTGTCGCGGCCATGAAGCTCTTCTTCGTATGGCCGGCCACGTTAGCCATTCCAATAGTGATGATGAGACTGACTGTGCCGCCAAAGAAACCTGTAATGGAGTATCCTACAATAGGAGCGGCAGCGTGGTGACTCCAGGTGCTTTTCCAGATGATGGCACAGCCAGCAATAACAGGCAAGCAAGTAAAGATGAGCATAAAAATGCGAACATTATTGACTTTGGAACCGATGTATCCCGTCGCCAGAATGACTATGAAGCATAGCCCGCCAAGAGGAAATTGGAAAAGGATCGATTGGAGAGTGTTCCAGCCGAATGTCGATACGATAAGGGGTCCAAAGCCGCTCACTGCGCCGTTGACTGTGTATGCAGACGCCATCATGACAAAGATCAGATAGACTTTGATATCCAACAAGGCTTCCTTAAGCTGAGATGACTTGAACTTTGTGCACCGCACTCCAGTTTGCCCGTAGCGGAGTCTTTCTACGGCTGCGAACCGTTCTTCAGCAGTCAGGAACCAAGCCGATACCGGCGAATTCGGCAACGCAAAGCAAAGGAGTCCAAAGATGAATGTGAGTGCGCCGCCAAACAGGTATATGTACTGCCATCTCTTCAGTCCTCCGCCAGTGATCTGAGCAAAGCCGTAGTTGAGCGCTCCACCAATGATGGTAAACAACCCAGTGCTGCTGAACCACCAGCTTTGCCGCAGCGACTGTTCAGACTGAGTGTAGTATCCCGAAACGATGCACATGAAGCCCGTCGGAATGATGCTCTCCACGAAACCTAGGAAGAAACGCTGCACAAAGAGGCCTTGCCAGGATGTTACTGCTGCAGTGAGCATGCAGATGGCGGACCAAAGAATGACCACAACTCCGAGGATTCTCCCCATGTCGAAGCGCTGGAGAGCAAATGTCATGGGGTACAGGCCTCCCAGCATGCCAAAGTAGAAGAGCGAGGTGGCCCAGCTGAGGCGTCTGGTGTCGACAGTAGGAGGCACAGTTGAGTTGTCAACGACACTTAGTTTGAGATCTGTGGTCATGCCAAAGAGGGCAGCTGAGCCGAGAATAGCTTTGTCGTAGTAGACGAGGCCATCTGCAGATACAAAATCATGTCAGTATCATGTCATTTTATTCCCATCGTTGCAGTCAACTATCTCAACCCAGTTGTGAGTTGTTAAAACTTGATGGGAAAACTGACATCCGCATATCATTGCTGGGATCAGAAACCAGTCAATCTTCCTGATGGCTCTGGCTTCCACGATAGGATCGATGGCATGTCGCACCTCGCCTACCATGGCTACAGCATCATCCTTGTCAGACGGGTTTCGATTTGCCACAGCGTCGTCCATTGTTGAACAGCAAGCGAGCCGGCGAGAATTAAAGGCAAAGAGACGTCAATCAACCACCATGTCAACGAGGAGAAAGAAAATCCAGATTCTGTCGCAATTAGAAAAAAAAAAAAAGAGCTCTCAGACAGACGGAGCTTAGTGTCCGATTGCGGTTACGATAACAGAATGATATGGCTAAGCTAAATTGCAGAAAAAGAGCTAGGGATGGTGTTCGTGATCGTTAATTGGTGGTTCGAGGTGGGATGCATCGGTTAGAACCGGACTGTGTGGAGCTGAGTTAGAATTGAATTGAGCTCTTTTGAACCCATGCCGTGAAGCTCGTCTTTGAAGTGACGGGGGCGAATGATGGCCAATCATGGCGTCAGAGAATTTAAGTTTCGTCGTTAGAAAGATCCTAGAATCAGTAGTCGGCATGAGTGTCTTTGGTTCCATTGAACAAGCCATCATTCACTGTTGGAATAGAGCTCAAGATGGGTAAGCAGAAATAGAAGTATCATTCGCTGCCTGCCAATGCGTCTAGATCATACAAAACTATATACATTTCTGTTCAACGTTATTGAACTCATTAACTTGGGGGGGGTTTTCTCTCTTCATCTTTCCTTGCAACATTTTACAATTTGGAGGGGTTCTCCTTGGGGTTCTTGACCTCGACCAGCAGCTTTCCGGTGTTGGAGCCCTTGTACAGGTCAACCAGGCCCTGCTCAGCAACCTGGAGGCCGCCGGGAAGAATGTGCTCGGTCTTCTTGATCTTGCCCTCGGAAACCCACTGGGAAAGCTCCTGGCGAGCCTTGCCGTAGTCCTTGATGTGGTCAAAGACGATGAAGCCCTGCATCTTGATGCGCATGCTGATGACTCTGGAGATGTTGCTGGGACCCTCGGGGTTGGCGCTGTTGTACTGGCTGATGCCACCGCACATGACGAAGCGAGCGTGCTCCTTGGCGCGGGCAAGGCACATGTTGAGGATCTCACCACCAACTGAACAGACATTGGTTAGCGGGAGGGTTCCTGTATCAAGCGTGATAACGAATTTGCTTACCATTGTCAAAGTAGACATCAATGTACTTGGGAGTGGCCTCCTTGAACTTCTCCTTGAAGTCGGCATCCTTGTAGTTCAGGGCAACGTCGAAGCCGAGCTCCTCAACCAGCCACTTGCACTTATCAGCGCTGCCAGCAATACCGACAACACGGGCGCCGTTGATCTTGGCGATCTGGCCAGCAATGCTGCCGGTAGCACCAGCGGCACCGGAAACAACAACAGTCTCGCCAGTCTTGGGCTCTCCAATCTTGGTCATACCGATCCAAGCAGTGAGGCCAGTCATGCCGAGGACTGACAGCATGTCCTTGGGCTCCCTCAGGCCGGGGTAGTTGGAAGAAGGCTCAAAGGCACCCTCGCGGAGGACGGCATACTGAGTCCAGCCAGTGAAGCCGCAAACGTAGTCGCCAGTCTTGGCCTGCTTGCTCTTGGAAGCAAGAACGCGGCAGACGGAAGCACCACGCATGGTCTCGCCGATCTGGACAGGGGGCACATAAGATCGGACATCTAAAAAATAGTATGTTAGAACTTGCAGGAAATGCAACAAGGACAATGCGAATTACCATTCAGCCAGGATCGCATGGCCGGGTCCAGAGAGAGGTAAAGAGCCTCGACGAGAATCTCTCCATCCTTGATGTCGGCTGAAGTGGGAGCAGGAGAGATCTTCTGCTTGAAGGTGGTGCCGGGAATGATTTCACCGGTGGGCCGTTCGGCGAGAACAATGGAGAGGTTGTCTACAGCCATGATGAAGATTGAAGGTGAAGGAAGGCGTTTGTCGTAAGGGGCTTGAGAGTTGATGCGCTAGTAGAGATAGAATGATCTAGCTTAAGATTCAAAGACTCGAAAAAACAAATCTGGAGGCGCACAGCTGTCTTTATACTTGCATCTCTAGGTGGCCTAAAGCGTGGCCGACCCTCCAGCTAGCATTTAGCAAGTATCGACAGCGGCGGCGGCGACGGCCTCAAAGCGGCTGTTTGCTCCATTGAACTAGGGATTCAGCGTCTGAAACAGCAACATGGAGAATCCGACCGTCCACGGAGACCCGCATTGCCTGGAGTCGTGTCGTACTACACAGGTCCGTTGTGCTTAGCAATTACAATTCAAACTTCGTGTCGATGGCCTCGGGACGTGGACTAGGACGTGGCCCGCAGGGATGGAAACTCCTGCATTGGCTCTATCGAGAACGTCAAAAGCAAGGGGAGCCAAAGCCAAAACCGCAGCGATGCAACAGAACATTGAGAAAAACCCGTCACCAGCGGCTCCCCACAAAGCCACTAGGGCCCGCCATTTCGCAATGGGGATATTCCTCCGGTGCGGAGTTCGCTTTCGCCGTCGAGTGCAGCTCCGAGCAGATGCACCTTGTGTCTTTCGGCCGGCCGGCCGAGTCCTTCTTTTAGAAAAGAGCCCGGCTGCAGGCTCACTAAGTCCCGTCTTTGCATAATTATGGGGGAGAGGCGAAGATACCGAGGTTTTTTCGGTGTCGAGAAGCGGCAGCCACAAAGACATGGATGGCATGGATCGAGCCGCAAGGGGAGACTCAAGCCCGGGACTAGTTTTAGAAGGAAAGGAGTGGAAAAAGAGAAACGGCATGTTATGTAAAGCACTCCGTAGATCCTTGGACTTTTGACCACTTTGCTTTGTACGGCAAGTACATACATGCAGCCCTCGCAAAAAGATAGTCTCGGTGAAGATACAGATTCAGACAGTTTCCCGTTTGCGCCGCGCCGCGGCTGTTCCGCCATCGCTCTTGTTTTGACTCGCTAGTGTCCGATCTGCTGGCACTGACCTGATTGGTAATCGCGGACTTGGGCTCTGCAGCGAATTCATGCTGAAAGAGAAAACGGTCCATGTTTCAGACCTTGTTAACAGTCGCGGAGTTGTGTAGCAAATTGGCTGTTACAATACAGGTACATCTATGTTGTGAGTCTGACAGCATAAATCCTGTCTGTTCCTATTGGATGAACAAGGCGTAAGCATGCATGATCCTCACCTTCAACATGCGCAAAAGGGCCACGGAACGATTATACAAGCCGACATAATAACTCTACGATCAAAACTCCGCTCCTCAAGACAAATGACCTCATGCATCCATTAACGCAAACGACTCAATCAGTTTTTAAATGGAGTACATTGGCACAATTTTTTTCTCCTCCTTATTAATCGAGAGTGACAACGAGCATGACGACAAGGAGAGAAGATATCCTGAAGCCCGGATGCCGAGCCGAGGCCCATCTTCGGCACTGATTCAAGCGCTAAATCGCCCCTGATTGGGGCTCGCCACCATCAAGAGCGGAACAGCTAGCACTTTTCGAGTATCTCAGCTTCTTCTTCTTAGAAACATCGAGAATACACCAGGTGGGCAATGTTCCTGTATCCGGCATTGCTCCGACATCTCTTTGATTCGTACACCCCGTGAGGTCAACTAGTAGTTAGACAACCGAATAGTACTCAACAAATACCATCTTTCATGTTTGCGAAGACCGATCCATGAAGCTCATTGTGTGTGTGTGTAATGTGTGTGACAGCCTAAAAGCTGCATGTCACCCAAAAAGCAGTTCAACGTTCTACAGCCACAATGCAGTGATTATTGATCATGCATCAATAATTAATCACGAGGTAAAAAAAGATGCAGGAAGGCGCGAATTATTTGGTTGGACAGCATCCCGCGGCTATATGGCAGCTACTCGAATAGAGACGCCAGCCAAAGATAACTTGCAGCAAGGGCTGCCTAGGTTGGCAACACTACATATTCGATGCCTGCATGGTGATTCCTCAAATGTTCGATCATAACAATCATTAAATCTGTTGATTGTTAACAACAGATCAGGATCTGCTCCTGTAATTGTGCCAAGGTGGTGGCATGTTCTTTCAATGCTTGGATGCGACGCAACGCAAGGGTGCTCGTTACAAGCAACAACCCACCAGAATGTATCTGAGAACATTCATGAACCTGGCCTCAAACTTCAGGCATACCTCCAGCCCCTACCAGCTTGAACAGTCCCCTTACGTTACCTACATGTAGGCAGGTAGTAACCATCATTATGACTCATGTCATGGATGCGATTCTTCCTGCCAGAATCTCTTCTCTCCCCGGCAAGAGCGCGCAGGGATAAGATAACTATTAGTAGAAAGGGCAGCCGAGACTCCTGTGCTTTCAAACGGTGGCGTCCAAAGAGCTGTTCGGTACCTGGACGGGTATGCTGAGTCGTGGACTGGTTGTCAGGACATTTCGGCCGAGAGATCGATCACAATGAGAGCGTTTTCCCGAAAATATACGCCATCACTAGTAAGTGGCAACTGAATCTGTACATGGAATCTTGCATATCGCGTAGGATTCCCGCAATCTCCGCCGTCCTTCACACTACATAAACCCGGACCCTGGCAGACGTTGGGGAATATAGATTGCCGGAATATAAGGCTGACAGCTCTGTGGGGCATATCGCAACCACTAAAACGCTGGTATTCCTCTTGGACTGGAATACTTTCTAAGGCGTTTCGCGATTCTTCGGCTCGAGGCGACTAGATCTTGATGGCGGAAAGGTCAGCACTTGGCTTGCCGCGAATATATGATTGGGTCCCGCTCGGCATCGAGAAATCATAGCTCTCCGAACGACAGTTGGAGAGCATGCTCTACATGAAATGCATTCATCAATGATGAGATAGAGATCCAAAAAGTTGAGTTCAATGGCTATTCCAAAACAGCAAGACTGACCTGTAGTCAAAGGTCGATGGTCGTCAATATGATAGAACGTACGCTCCATAACGTGCTGCTTGCGAAGTCCAGTGTCTCAAGAGGAGCCAGACTGCATCGTGCCCCCGGTAATTCGGATTCAGCCGAATACCACCGAACCAGTGGCCTAAGACCGCCTTGCCAGCACGGAGATTTTTAGCCGCATGTCAATGATTCATCATGAGATTTTATACAGCATCAGCCCTTCAACAAACGCCAATCAGAGCGTGAAATAGAGTTCAGCGAAGGATCACCACTTCATGCGATATCAGTCCATTCAGGATCCAAATGGCTAACCTTGCCAAGACAGTCGCGGGGAATCTCTATGGCCTAATGTACATTGCGCGTCTTCGCTTTTCAGCCGCATCTAGGTGCGTCGTCATACAGCAAATGGATGAAGGCCAAGTATTTTCCCGCTGTTGGTAGCACCTTTTTCGCAGCATCATTCCAGATTCGGCACAGCGAATAATTCCCGCGGATCGCAGCACCTTCTTCGCGGCATCGTTCCAGATTCGGCACTGCAAGCATTGAAATCCTGTACGGATCTGATCCTGGGAATTCGACCAGAGAGATTGGCACCCGTCCAGCACGACACCTGCTGCATCCAAATATTGACAAAATATTGAAGCTTGTGGCGTCTTGGGTACCTGTAGTCATGGGCTGAAAAGGTTTCCAAAATGCCAGCCATGAAGAGATACGAAAATACGAATCCTCCTATCATTGGCCTGACCCACTTGGGTATCAGGAGAGAAAAAAAATTGAAGGAGGCTGTGAATCCCGTGTTGCCCCGTATTCCGTTTAGCAGCAAAATCTTGGGCCGGAGATATGGATGATTTACAGAATCGATGCAACGGAGCCTCATATCACGAATCTTCACTGCGCAAAAGGCTTGGCAGACACGAAACATGGCTTGAAAGGCGACAAAACTAATCAATATTTATAAGCGGAAGGATAAACCAATGTTGCTTGTGTCTTTATTGATGTGCATTCTGCAGCTTGCGTAACTAATGAGACTAACGATCTAGACCTTCAAAAGTTACTCCGTCCCTCCGATCAGGAGCATCGGCGCAACTTGCTCATATTTGACAGATGCCAGCACAAGAAAAAAAAAAAAAGAGATTTTACATCACACTTTGTAATCAGGGCACTCTCCTTTTGCACCTGAATGAATTATATCAATTCACACAGCCCCATCGTCAGCACATACCAGTTTCCATTTCAGTCTTGGACATACTTCTGTTTCGCCGCTACTCCGTTTGCTGTCGTGTTGAACTTGATTGCCTGGACGACGCTGTTCAGGATATAAATTGAACGTTATCGGGATTCAACATTATTTAGGCAGAATCCTTCAGCAACTGGGAACCCAAACCATTTGCAGACTTCTTTGGGCATTCTCTCGTCGTCTGTGCAAGCCCCATTCTCTCGAAGCAGTCCATCGCAAGGACGAAACAGCTATATAGGCAACACTGCCGTCCTCCCCCTTTCGCGCTGCCCACACAGCCATCTCCAGCAGTACGAACAGCACTCGCATCGACGACCATACTTCGACTTTATTTTTATCCATCATGACGACTCCGGGCCAGGGAATACCTGGGACGCCAGGCGGCTATGTTGTGTTCGGTCCACAGGCCAATTGTACTCTCGACGTCTGCCCTGTTGAATGGAGTGTCTACAAGTATCGACCTTCTATCGCTGCCAACTCCGTCTTCATAGCCCTCTTTGCTATCGCCATCAGCATCCATGCATTTCTTGGCGTTCGTTGGCGCCAGTGGAATTTCATGACCCTCATGATCTTCGGATGCCTAGTTGAGATTGGGGGCTATGCTGGTCGCCTTGTTCTCTACAATAATCCTTTCTCTTTCGGCGGCTTCATGGACCAGATCGTCCTCATTACCACTGCCCCTGTTTTTTTCACGGCTGGAATATACATTACTCTATCCAAGACGTAAGTCTATTATTGACCGAACCATCGTTGATCGCCAGCTAACGCCTGCCACAGCATTAACTTCTTAGCCCCTGAAGTTTCACGCATCAAGCCCGAGCTATTCTATTGGATCTTCATCCCTCTCGATATTGTTTGCCTTGTTCTCCAAGCTGCCGGTGGTGCCATATCTGTAGTCAGCTCTGGCGGCAGTCAAACCGGTGTGGATATTGCCATGACTGGTCTGGGGCTCCAGGTCGGCGGCCTGTTCTTCTTCAGCACCTTGTTCATCGACTACGTGACTCGCTACGTCCGGAAAAAGCCCTCATCACCTTTGGGAACAAGAATGCGCGTCTTTTTGGGCTTCCTGGGTGCCGCGATCCTTCTCATCTTCACGCGTTGCGTATACCGTTGTTATGAGCTGAGCAAGGGCTACGTTCACTCTAACCTAATCACAGACCAAGGCCTCTTCATTGGTCTTGAGGGAGTGTAAGTACCAGATCTCGTTTCCCTTGATAAAGTGTACTTGGGTTGACATTCGCTTTAGCTTGGTTGTTATCGCTTCGTTCTGCCTCTGCGTTGGGCACCCTGGTCTCATTTTTGGTCGAGACGAGCCCAAAGCTATGTCTCTTCATACATTCGATGAGTCCACGAATACCGAATCCAAGGCTTAATGCTACTACAAATCTTAGAGGGTTCTCCTATTTTCATTCACTCAAAAAGGCCATGGCTATAGAAGCTCAAAGGCTGGTGCACAGTCATTCACTAAATAGCGATTGCATATGATATTAGATTTCTTTGTCATACAGCTTCTCTTTTCCAAAATGCGTATTCTTAAATTATTCGCTCTCATTCGGGTCCGCACAGAGGTGGTCCTTGCAGCCTGCATCACAGAGACACCCGCAAGCCTCTTCACAACCTGTGTTTCGCTTGTCATAGACAAATCCTCCATCTCTGCCACATCTGTAATTATGAGGGTCTGTCCGGCACCATGAGTACCAAAGTGCACATTGCATGAAGCAGACGGCTTGTATACCACTATCCACACCGGAAGTAGAGTCTTGAGAAGTAGGAACAGCGCTAGCAGCGGCAAGAGAGGCGAAGAGACCGAGAATTTTAACTTGTCGCGTTAGTTATATTAGCGGCTACGTGCGCAAATATGAGTAAATACCTGACAACTGCATTATGATGGCTTTGGTAGATAGATTCGTAAACTTTCTTTTATGGATAGACGTGATGTGGTAAAAGTTGCCAAATCGTTGAGCGACGATGGCTTCTTATAGCTGCCCAGGTGGTCTACATAGCATAATGTCCTTCGAATCGCTTCAGTATGTAACAAAGAACCAAAAATTGAGCATCTCAAATATGCACGCTATAGTAACACTGATCATTTGACCAGCCATGTGAATGTCATCTAAATGCCAACTGAATGCCAACTAAATGCCTATTTACGAATATTGGCAAGTTTGTGGAGGCACTCGGACCCTATCAGTTCGGTGGCATCTGCAAAGCTGACATACAGAGACATTTAGGAAGAATGCAGAGTACATCTTAGATGAGCCAACTAAATTGAGCATCATAGAAAAGTCATATTGAACAATGAATATGTCTCCGCGCGAATGGCCAGTGCATACGATATATGGTATTCGGTGTGGGAAGGTCTTTAAACGCACCCCAAGATGCATCACACAAATGGCACGTGGGGTGTGCTCAATTGCGTCTCTTTGATGATAGTGGGATGCCTCAAAAGTGTGTAATATCATTTGTGAAGGCGATGCGCTGTGTGAAGATGAATCTAGTATTATGATTAATTCATTCGAACGAGAGCAAAGCTGAGGAAGTTGCATCAATGAACTCTCTTTTTTTTCTTGCTAATATGGAATGCCTATTCAGCATCCAACTGTGCTACCCAGGATCCCATGTTGCAAATACCATTGAATGCTGAACGAAAATATTCATGGCAGTATGTAAATGCTATAAAAAAAAAATTATAGCCATAGTAGCAGGAAACAATTATAATAGGAGATATTTACAGAGCAAGCATCTGTTACTTGACAAGTAAATGCCCGCAGTAGTAAATGAACGGCTTTACCTCGCGTCCGCTTTTGAAGCTCTAACTCTACTCTGTGACGTCGAGTAGCCAACTTGGGGTGCACAGACAATCCTTGGTAACCCAACTGACAAAAAAAGAGTGCCTCGTGCATTATTCTCAGTATCCATAGCTACCAGGTAGCTGGACTTTGTTTTACAGCTGTCTCAGTCATCAGCTGCGATTTGGCTACGTAGACTTGAGCGACTTGAATTAGCGGTTCGGTTGATGTGACAAATATACTCACTACCTATCTGCAACGAAGAAAACAAACGAACAAATAAAATTTAATAAGTAACCAATTAAATGAATCAATACCACAAATTGATAGTTTCTTTCAATTTCTTTCAGTGTTTTGTTCTATACTTTGTCTATATTTTTACAATTGTTCCGGATTCTAGGGTAGGTGTAGCGGAATTGTAGGTCATATAGCCCATCGTGACGACAAGGTACAGAGTATTATTTGTGATTCACAATCTGTTTCTGATGATTCATTTCTATTAATCAGTGCCCAGCCCCATCATTGCTGCCTGTTTCACGTACTCGTACCGTACAGTACCTACAACTAGTAGTATTCCCGTGGTAGCCATATGTAATTACGCTTAACGCGTGGCGACGGTTAGGTTGATGCGTGTTTCAAAGCCAAACACCGATTCGAGTACAAAAAACGTCACCGGGCAGAGACAGGCCGCCCTGGCTTAACACAGCCTGCAGGAGCCCTAGCGGTGTAACAAATGGAATCTCCGGATAGTCCCGTGTCCACTGTGCAACTGCTACTCTACTCTATGTAACTGATGTAAGTTTTGACAATAGCCCATTAGTAAAGTAAGTAGTAATCCATTGAATAGTAAGAACTCACGACCAAGCAGCTGCTGCAGCAGGGGATCCATGTATGTACACTTATACGTACACGTAGCCTTATGCAGGGCGACAGCCCCTATAGCCTACATCTTTGATCGTGCGCACTACTGGAGTAGAGCTGAACAACTTGATCTGTCATAGCCACTCATAACGCGCTGGAGCCGTTCAACCTCCCTGGCCTGTAACAGGGAATTCACGGATGCTATCCGTGCAAATACCAGCGTCACATCAGCCACCCGCCGACCGGAATGTTAAATGAGCTCATATGCTAGCTGACCAATGTGCAGTTTGCCCGGGCGAGAACCATCACTGAGCCCTTGTGAGACAAAATATGAGTGGTCCTGTCCGATGTCCGAGACAGTTGTGACGGATGCGAATGCCGGCCAATTGGGCGCTATTAGTGACATCTCTGTCTCACGGCTCGTGCAAGATTAAGTAAAATGATATCTGAGATTGACAAGCGAACGCCTGGAACAAGTGGCCCAGAAATGGAGACGGAGCAGCTGAACCGGGTTCCACGACTGCCTCAGCCTCTTTTGGGTACCAAGTGTATACCTCCTTTGGGTGATCACGTAAATCGTGCATGAGTAGCATTCTTCCCAGATCAAGGCACGTCGCGGTATAGTATCAAAACGTTGAGCCGTTTTGTACCCCGTACCTCTCTACTACATACAAAAACGCGACCTACCCTCCTACCTGTGTACTAAAAGAGCCTTAAAAATGGCAGTATTATCATACATACATGGAGCTAAATCCAATTACCTAGATGGCTGTGAATGACTGACTAATTGCGACCTGTCACCTGGTAGCTATGTGTGCTTGGCCAATGGAATATGATCATGATATGATGCATACGACGCTATGTATGTATTACACAATGCTACATCGCTAAATGTATGGCGAATTCAATATCTCGCCGTTAGGTATAGGTTGTTTCAGATGACGTGAATATCTTATAGTAATGAAGCTTTTCATGTAATCTTTCACACACGGAAACCCCGGTGCAGATGAGTTTGTAAGTTGATACTCACCGTGAACATTCCGGGTTTGGATTGAGCTACGGCTTTTGTGGCACTACTTAGAAAGAAAAAGTCTAAACTTGTACGAAATATGTACTCCTTGCTCCGTACTCCATCTACTGCTGTAATTTTCTTGCAAGTATAGAGGGCATGCAAGGGGGCGTGCCAAGCTGAGTTCCCTCGACCGATCGCCCCGAGGGAGGGCTCTTGGCCACTCATTTCAGCTGTTGGACGATGTTGTTTTAAATTGCGCCATGCAGCCACTCCATGGAATAAACGTAAAAAGAAGTGTTATGTGAATATTAGTCTTTTTCCATCCCTATTAGCCCTCAAGGTGTCAATCCTCATCTGGGGTGGTGGGCCCATATGAGAGCTGAGCGAATACATGAGGAAATTCTAGTTGAAGTTCACCATACAATCCATTGCGTCGTATAGTTCGTAGGCTCATTCACTCTGAAAGATCCGACTCCAGTCAAGGGTAGACTGGCATCGCTAGAGTAAAATCTAGTAGATCTTCTCCTTGTTACGCAAGATGCAAAAGAGTGGGTTAAGAGAGAGGCACTACCTATGCATACTTGCGCAGGGGCATATCGCTTCTGACCTATAGGATCTTTGCCTCATAGCCTGTACACTGGAAAGTAATTAATATTTCCACTTCTCTCCCGCGTCTTCTTTCTTTTTTCCGGTGAGGCGGATTGTAGCCCGCCGGTAAGCGCCGTGCCGCCCTCACCAATAGGACATACTCGTTAGGACATACTCGTACGGGATTGCATGCATTCTCAAGAGCTGCCATCAGCGGTCGTGAGATGCCCCGTCTTTGCACAATACGCAATGTTGGATGGATTTTTCAAAGTTTGCATATATTCTGTGGATTATCTTACTTCCGAGTGTATCACTCAAGTATGTATTTGTAGTCCCTCGACTTTGTATGAAGTATCATATATACGTATCGAAGCTCTGCAGCTGGATTGGTGTTAGATCCCTGAAAGATTGTTCATCAAAGGGATTGACGCGGGGGACAATGGCGGTAAGTCGACTGGGGCTCTACCCGTGCACCTGAGCATGGCCGCATCCTCGCAAGTGTTGAAAACTCTGTGAGACATTGACTGACTTGGAGAACAGGGTGCTATGATTGGCTAGGCTCTGGCCTGCTTTGACAGTAATATCATCAAGTATTACGAAGTACTTGTAGTAGGAGTAAGAGTTGTATTGTCTATCCTTGCAAAGAGTTTCCCTTTTATACCATTTGATGCCCACCAACTTCCCTCCTAGTCGATCCAGCAAGCGTCTTGGTCGATACATATACGATTCCGGTTGAATTTAATGTCCATTTTTAATTAATTTGCTTCAACGTACTAATTACAATCTTTAATATGTCTGGAATTAAGTCTTCGGCCGAAGAGGCTGGGGCTGGAGGTAGCATCCATGGCTCTATCAACTCCTCCAAGAGCCCAAATGGAACTGCGAATCAGTTTCAAATCGCTATCTGCGGAGTTGGTATGCGACTCTCGGGTGGAATCCGCAGCACCGAGGAGTTTTGGGATTTATTGGCCGGTGACGCGGATGCCCGCGGTTCTGCCCCTGGAGCCCAGAATGAAAGGCGTGATGTGCATGGCAGCCGATTAAGTGAAGGCCACAACTCCGTTGATGCATCCTTATTCACGACCACTGAAGGGCCAGCCGATTTTGGACCGTATGGCCAGAAACTCCTCGAAGTTACGCGTGAATGCCTAGAAGATGCATGCGAGGTCAGCTATCGCGGAAAGGGTGCGTCTGTAGCTTGCTATCTGGCAATGCCAAGTAAAGAAGAATCCAAGTCGAAGGAGGCCAGACACACCTCTATCGCGGACTATGTATCCAAACAATATGACTTTCAAGGACCAAGGTAAGCACAGCCCAAACCTTGAGCTGAACCACTCAATCCTCGTTTTCATCAACACGCGGTGGCTAACCATCAATGATATTTTAGCGTAATGATTGAAAATGCGGATCCTTCCGCATCACTGAAGGCACTTCATGAAGCATGTAATGCTATGAAGAATGGTGATGCCAAAGCTGCTCTCGTTGCGGGCATCAACTTGATGACCGCCGCGGAGATGGATGCGGATGCTTCTGAGAGAGAAGCGGTGGTGGCAGTGTTCATCAAGCCAATGAATGACGCAATTCGCGATGGAAACCCGATTCAAGCCGTCATCTGTGCTACTAACACGTGCGACGGCCATGAGTTTCGAGAAGCCGTGAATTCAGGAGCAAGTGTCTATGTAGACATGATCCGCGAGGCCTATGATGTCGCTGGGTTGGATCCCCGTGACACAGCAGTTATTGAGGTGAGTTCTTTTCCTATCAAAATAAATAATTTGCTATTGTCCTGGAGGAAGTGATAAACTAACAAATGCAGTGTTACGATGCTGGTTTTGCTGGAAACCAGATCGAGCTCTCGGCTCTTGAACGCGTTTTCGGAGGGAGCGATGCCTCTCTTTGCTCCTCTCGCCATGCTGTCGGTGACTCAAAAAGTGCTTCGGGTCTTGTTAGCTTGATCAAGGCTATGGTTTCCATAAAGCACCAAACAATTCTGCCAACTGCATCAAACGGTAAGAATCTGGAACAGCAATGTCTGGTAGTTGGGGAGCCAAAATGTTTACATAATCGCCTAGGTCAATCTCAAAGTCGGAAGCTCAGTGCGTTTGCAAAGTCACGCGAATTTCCATCTGGTCGAGCTGAAAGAATCAGCATCAGCTATCTTGGAACTGCGGACATTGGAACCCACGTTATCCTTGAGTCGTATCGAAATAACGATTCTTCAGCAAACAAGTACCACTCTCGCACAGAACTTGTCCTCTTTTCAGCAAGTGACGCAACTGCTCTGAACCAGCAGATACAGCTTCACCATGATTACGCCAAGGCACACCCGCAACTCGTCCCTGATGTTGCTTTTACTCGTGCTATACGCCGAAAAGCACTCACTCACCGCGCTTTTTCTCTCCTCGGAGTCGATGGAGAATGCCTAAGTACTTCGAACCACGCGAAATGCCCGCCTGAGCCCTCTTCCATCACGATGGTCTTCAGTGGGCAGGGAGCGCAGTGGGCAGGCATGGGCAAAGAACTTTTCCAGCTCGATGGATTTAGAGATGACATTCAAAGCATGGACGACATCTTGCGCCAACTGAAAACCCCGCCTTCTTGGACGATTGAAGAGGAAATCCAGCGATCATCCACCGACCCTCTATGTCGAATTCATTCTGTGGAAACGGCTTGTATGCTGTCTACCGCTTTGCAGATTGCACTTTTTCATCAGTTTGATCGTATGGGGGCTACGCCAGAGGCCGTCGTCGGCCATTCCAGCGGCGAGATTGCCGCAGCCTACGCCGCAGGTTTTCTTACTCTGAAGGGCGCGATTGTTACGGCATATTACTATGGCTATGCCGCTGCGATGAGCACATTCGATGGAACCATGGCGGTGACAGGTCTGAGCGCCGAAGATACAAAAGAGTTCTTGCGTGAAGGTGTCGTTGTGGCCTGTGAAAACAGCCCAATGAGCACGACAATTTCCGGCGACCGCGATGTGATAGAGGAGGTCATGGCTTTGATCAAACTGTCTAGACCGCAAGTGACCACGCGAAAGTTGCATGTTGGAACAGCTTTTCACTCACATCACATGGAATCAATCTCTACTGAACTCCTGGGGTTATTAGAGGCTGAGAGAATTGCCTTGCCAGAGCAGCGAACGAGAAGGGCCGTTTTAATGTCGAGCGTCAATAACAGCATTCTCAATGCCGCCGAAGACCTCAGCCCTAATTATTGGGTAAACAATTTGATATCGCCTGTCCGCTTCTCTTCCGCGGTTCTGTCTCTTCTTGAGACTATCCCTCAACACAGCTTATTCCTGGAAATTGGACCGCACTCAACGCTTTCTGGGCCACTTTCACAGATATGCTCTGCCACCTCTGTGCCTTGCAACTATATCTCATCTCAGTTTAGAGAGAAAGATTGTTTGGCGAGCTTCCTATCGGCGATTGGTCGGCTTTGGCAGTATTCCGTGGTGTTGAAGTTAGGTCCTTTGTTCACTGGGAAAGCAATCTCTGGACTGCCTCAATACCCATGGAATTACAGCAATCATGATGATAGCGGTCTCTTGGATACCAACACAATGCCATTATCGGCAACAGATAGACGGGCTCAAATCATCACAAGAGCCGCATTGATGACGACTGCGAGCCTCTCAGCTGAGGAAACACCAAAGACTGAGTTGGAGTTAATCCTGCGGGCTCTTTGGGCAGATGTACTCCGCAATGTGCTTCAGATCCGTATCCAAGATATCGGAAGGCGGCATAACTTTTTCCTCCTTGGTGGTGATTCTCTTACGATGACCGAGCTCGCCACAACTGCTTATCGACATGGTATCTCCCTCTCCCCGATAGACATCATGGAGAATCCCGAGCTGGCACAAATGGCCGCTGTTGCTTCAATCGATGATGCTGAACAATTGGGATATGCTAAGCCATTCAGTTTGATTCCGCAAGGCAGCATGGATGAGACCAAAACCGAAATGCAGAAACAGTGCAACCTCGATGCCGGAACAATTGAGGATATTTACCCTTGCACAACACTTCAAGAGGGATTTATGGCACTTGGACTTAAGCAGCCTGGATCCTACATTCATCGACAGGTTTACAAGCTAATGCCGCATGTTGACATTGATCATTTTATGGCCTCCTGGGACGCGGTCATTGGGCACTGTGGCAGTCTACGGTCAAGGATAGCCTTGGTTAACTCCGAAGCATTGCAGGCTGTCGTCACAACTGATACTACATGGGAGGCTCCTGTTTCGAATACTGATGTGAATACATATTTGAACGAGACTCGAAGCGTTCCTATGAGTTATGGAGATCGTCTCAGCCGAAACGCGTTGTTACACCAGGATAACGGCGACACCTATTTCATCTGGATTGTTCATCACGCTGTTTTTGATGGGTTGAGTATGAAAATCATACTTGATGCTTTGCAGAGATCCTATCTCAGCACGGACTCCAACATAGAGGCTTTGCCACCATATTCGAACTTCATTCGGTACATTGGGTCACTTGACTACGACTGCTCTCGCGAATACTGGAGGAAGGAATTGGAGGGTTCACAGCGATCCCAATTCCCTGCCGCTTCTATAACTGCGAAATCTCAAGACTGTGTGATGAAGAAGTCCATACCGTTCCAGAACCCAAAAGCAGCAATAACAACGGCAACCATCCTTCGCGCCACCTGGGCTCTTCTTCTTGCTCAGTATTGTGGCAATGACGATGTATGCTTCGGTATGACCTTGTCTGGCCGACAAGCTCCTGTCCCCGGCTTGAACGAAATTCCAGGGCCCATGATTGCTACTGTACCTGTCCGAATTCAGATTGATCGGGAAATGCTAGTTTCTGAATTTCTTCAGCATATTCAGTCACATGCGTCTAAAATGGTTGCTCATGAACAGTTTGGACTACAGAATATCTCTAAGCTTGGGCAAAGTGCTAGGGAAGCCTGTGATTTTGCCAATTTGCTTGTTATCCAACCAATGCAGCATCTCTCTTCAGCAGCTTACTCCTCGTTGGACTCGATCCTTCAACAAGGCATAGAAGAAAAGGCGATATCAGAGGAAGCCATGAGGAACTATTTTAATTATCCGTTAGTTCTTCAAACTCGCGTTGGAGATGATGCGATTGAACTCGACTTCACTTACTATAACGACGTTTTGACCGAGGGCCAGTTGGAGGCTTTATGTTACCATTTTGAACATGTTACTCGACAGCTTCTTGAACAAGATGATGTTCCTTTGAAGTCCATCACAGTATCCAGCCCGTGGGATCTACAGCGTGCTATAGAATGCAACAGCGAAGAGCCAGATATTATTTCATCATGTTTACATCAAATCATTGAATACCATGCTCTGAAGAGACCGGACGCGATGGCTGTTCATGCATCCGATTTGACGTTGACCTATAGCCAGCTGAATCTTGCTGCTGATAGACTGTCGAGCTACCTTATGGATAATTGTGCGGTTCAGGCACGCGATCTTGTTCATGTCTGTTTCGAAAAATCCGCTTGGTTCTTCGTATCCATCTTGGCGATTAATAAGGCCGGGGCTGCTTGGGTTCCTCTCGACCCCTCTCACCCCCTCCAGCGCCATAAGAAGGTCGTAATGCAGACAAAGGCAAAGCTTGCGTTAGCCTCGCCTAGTAACACCCCTCTTTGTGCTGATTTAGTCGAAAATGTCGTTGAAGTTTCTGCTACTCTTGACGAGATGCTGATGAGGCGAAGACAAAATAACAAGAATCCACGCACAGTATCCCCAAGTGATGCTTGTTACGTTCTCTTTACCTCTGGAAGTACTGGAACCCCTAAAGGTTTCGTTATGCAGCACCAGGCTCTCTGCACCAGTCAGACTGCTGTCGTCAAACGGCTCGGAATGACATCGGATATCAACGTCTTACAATTTGCATCATACGTCTTTGATATGTCGATTGGAGAGATTGTCGGTCCATGGATTGCTGGTGCTTGCATATGTGTGCCATCTGAAGAAATTAGAATGAATGGACTTGCTGAGTATATACGCACGATGGATATCAGTTGGGTATATTTAACGCCTTCATTCTCTCGCACTTTAATCCCGGATGATATCCCTGGCGTCAAGTTGATGCTTCTCGCTGGCGAGGCTGTGAGTCGCGATGTATTAGAGACCTGGTTTGGAAAGCTTCGTCTTATCAATGCATGGGGCCCAGCTGAGACCTGTGTGTTCAGTACACTGCACGAATTCGGATCTCTTAATGACTCCCCTTTAACGATTGGCAGACCTGTTGGTGGTTTCTGTTGGCTTGTTGATCCAGAGAATCCTCATCGCCTAGCACCCTTTGGAACCATTGGTGAAGTGGTCATCCAAGGACCGACATTACTCAAAGAGTATCTGGCAGATCCAGCCAAGACCGAATCAGCAACAGTTAAGCCTTTACCTAACTGGATGCCCAATCGCAGTTCGGACCAGTGGAATCGCTTCTATAAATCTGGTGATCTGTGTAAATACAACTCAGATGGAACGATTGCATTTGTTACAAGAAAAGACACTCAAATCAAGATCCGAGGTCTTCGAGTCGAGTTAGGCGAGGTGGAGCACCAGATCAAAGCATGTCTTGATGGAGTTCATCAAGTTATGGTGGATAAGATTGACAACGAGGCCGGTGCAAGCCTAGTTGCCTTCTTTTGCTTCAATACTGAGACAAAAATTGTAAATACAGCAGGCGGAGATCCTACAATGTTCCTCCCGATCACAAGCCAATTGAAGAGCCAAATTGTTGGCATGATTGGACACCTGTCTGTGAACCTTCCAAGGTACATGGTGCCGTCGTTATTTATCCCATGCAGATATATGCCATCGATCACTTCGACCAAGTTGGACAGGCGCACCTTGAAGCATCATGTCGAAATGCTGGATTCTGAGAGCCTGTCCATTTATTCGCTAGTTGACACTGTCAAGAATCCACCAGAGACAGCAATGGAGAGTAAGCTGCAAGCCATTTGGGCGAAAAGGCTGAACATGCCACTGGAGTCTATTGGAAGAGATGATAGTTTCTTGCAAATCGGTGGTGACTCCATCTCTGTGATACACTTTGTGGCCGATGCTCGCCAAGCCGGAATTTCACTCACTGTCAAAGACGTCTTCGATGATCCAAGATTGTGGAAAGTAGCTGCTGTCGCCGACAAGATGAACGGGGATTCCAACGTGATTTGTAGCATTGCGCCTTTCGACCTACTTGAGCGACATCAGACCGACTTAGCTATGAGGGAGGAGCTGCTCAAGCAGTGCAATCTGGCTAGCTGGGATCTTGTTGAAGATGCATTCCCTTGCACCAAGCTACAAGAAGGGTTAATGGCACTAACCGCGAAACAACCAGGAGCATATGTTGCGAAAATGATATTCAAGGTTGCAAGAAATACTGATATTGACCACTTTAAGGTTTCTTGGGATCAAACTGTTGCTCTTTGTAACAATTTGCGCACGAGAATTGTTCAGCTCAGCAGTATGGTATCACTCCAAGTTATTGTCAAAGAACCTGTGCAGTGGGATTCAACGGACAATCAGAACATGGATGATTTCTTAAAGTCTGCGAGTAACATCCACATGTCCCATGGGTCACCACTTTCCCGTCTCGCACTTGTCAATGATGACAATGGCGATCGCTATTTTGTCTTCATTACGCATCATTCAGTGTTCGATGGGTGGTCCTTAGCTCTCGTGATCAAGACATTCCACTCAATATACCATAATACTGGAGTACCGACGCTGGGCTCGTATTCCAGCTTCGTGCAGTACACGCTTCAACTTGACCTGAATAGTTCGGAGCAATACTGGAAAACGCAATTATCTGGGGCAAGACGGGCTTTGTTTCCTTTACCGAGAGATGACTTTATCATCACCAACTCCGAAAGGAACATAGGTGTCTGCGCAAGGGAAATTAAAATCGGAAAGTCAACTAAGGGGGCCATTACCACAGCAACGTATCTTCGCGCTGCTTGGGCGATTCTTTTGGCACGATACTGCAGTATAGACGATGTTTGCTTTGGTGCTTCGGTTTCTGGCCGAAATGCTCCACTTGCAGGTGTAGAGAATGTCCTTGGCCTGGTTATTGCTACACTCCCCATAAGAATCCGGTTGAATCCAGACCAGCTATTGTCGGAATTTCTTGGTGATGTTCAGAGGCAGTCAACTGAAATGGTGATGCACGAGCAATTTGGGCTACAGAATATAGCTAAACTCAGCTCAGATGCCAAAGACGCCTGCAGCTTTACCAGTCTCATGGTCGTCCAGCCAAAGGAACTAACAAGCGAGTTTGATGGAGATGAGGCAATCCTTATTTCCACAAGAGCAGAGCAGAGGCTCGCATGGAAGTCCATGGAAGACTATTACAACTATCCTCTCAATCTCCAATGCCACCTGGGCGATGATAGTACCGAGTTGGAGTTTGTCTATGATACAAACGTCATTTCTGAATCGCAGGTCGTAGCATTAACTCATCAGCTTGACCACGTCACCCAGCAGCTCGTATCTCTAGGTAGAGAGAAGTTGCTTCGTGATGTGGCCATAGCAGGGCCTTGGGATCTCCAGCAAAGTATGAAGTGGAATGACCACGAAGTTGTGATCGAGGAGCACTGTATGCATGATGTTATTTCCAAACGGAGTGAATCATGTCCCAATGACGAAGCTTTGTACTCCTCGGAAGGGTCTCTCACCTATGCCGCTCTGGAGAATCTTTCTGACCTCGTCGCTTATCAGCTTTTGCAATACAATGTCCAGCCGGAAACAATAGTGCCGTTTTGTATGGAGAAGTCTATATGGGCCGTCGTCGCTATGGTCGGTATTTTGAAAGCTGGTGGTGCGTTTCTGCCACTTGATCCTTCTCATCCAGAGTCACGACGATTGGCCTTGGTTCAGGAGGTCAATGCCAAAGTGATAATTACTTCACCATCTACGGCCCTATCGTGTGAAGGAATGGCTCAGCACACCGTCCAGGTTTCCTCCTCCCTGTTGGCACATGCTCCCAAAACCACTAAAAGCTATCGTGAACTGAACAATTACAAGAAGCCTGAGTCTCACAATGCGGCCTACGTCCTCTATACTTCTGGCTCTACAGGAAAACCTAAAGGTCTGGTCATGTCACACTCCGCCGCTTGCACTTCACTATTGCGCCACCCTGAAAACTTCAGCATCAACAAGTCGACGCGAACATTCCAATTCGCTGCCTACGTATTTGACGTTTGCATTTTGGACATATTCGGTTCACTCTTTGTCGGAGCCACCGTCTGTGTTCCCACAGAAACTGAGAGAGTGGGCAACACCTCACGATTTATGACCGAAGCTCAGGTCACTTGGACAATGTTGACGCCATCATTTATTGGAACGCTCGACCCTGATACTCTTCCAACTCTACAAACCCTTTGCATCGGTGGAGAGGCCCCCACAAGAGATATCTTGAGCAAATGGCACGGGCGAGCAGAGATTATCAATTCCTATGGTCCTGCAGAGGCTTGTGTAGATGTTGCCAGGCATGTTTTCAAGTCACGAGATGATTCACCTACAAATATTGGACGTCCATTTGCTCACAAACTTTGGATCGTGGAGCCAAACAATCACAATCGCCTCGCTCCAATTGGATGCATCGGCGAGTTAGTCATTGAAGGTCATGCAATTGCACGTGGCTATATCAACAACGAAGAAAAGACAAAAGAGTCCTTTATCGATGACTTAGAATGGTTACCCAGTGTTATATCCAGCGGTAGGCTTAGAGTCTATAAGAGTGGTGACCTTGCAAGGTTCAACCCCGATGGAACAATTGAGTTCTTTGGGCGGCGGGATACTCAAGTCAAGATACGTGGCCAGCGTCTAGAACTCGGCGAGATTGAGTATAACATCAAGGCCAAACTTGCAGATGTGCAGCACACTGTAGTGGACCTCATCGAGCGTGAAGCAGGCAAGATGATCATTGCTTTTATCACATTCAAGAACTACTTGTGTGACACCATGGCAGATATTGCCGACCCTTACGGCAACTTTATCAAAGATGAAAAACTCATTTCTGCTTTCCAAGATCTTATTCTTGAACTGCGACGCGTATTACCAAGCTATATGATCCCAAGTATCATCTTCCCTCTCCGGGAACTTCCCTATACAGCCTCGAATAAGATCGACAGAAGGACGCTGCGTGAACTTGCGACAAACATGCCCCGCGAAATGTTGTCAGAATTTTCGATAGCTGGCCATGATAAAGTATCACCAACCACTGAAATGGAGTTTAAACTTCAAAGTCTGTGGGCTCGGGTCTTGAACATCGACGCTGAAGAAATATCTAAATTCGACAGCTTTTTGGAAATTGGTGGCGATTCAATTTCTGCAATTTATCTTTCGAATCTTGCCGCAAAAGAGAATGTACAACTTTCCATCGCAACCATTTTTAAAGACTCCCAATTAGCCTCGATGGCTGCCTCGATGATTATTGGACACGAGATGACTACTGACGTCCAACCGTTTAGTATGATCGAGGAGACACGGCGGGAGTCTCTAACTACTGCTATTCGCCGACAATGTCAGCTTTCAAGAGAACAAGATCTTGAAGATTTGTACCCTTGTACACCGCTGCAGGAAGGCCTCATGGCTTTGACCGCCACACGGCCTGGCTCTTATATAGCCAAGCGGGTTTACAAGCTGGTAGAAAACATTGACCTGGATCGTTTCAGGAAATCTTGGGAGCAAACCATTACGGCTTGCAGCAACCTGAGAACAAGGATTGTGTTGGACGGAGATATGTCGTTACAAGCTGTGGTGTCTCATGATACGTGCTGGGATGAGACTGATGCCCAAAACCTCAACGCTTACATGGATGAGATTGAGAATATTGATATGACGTATGGATCTCGACTTTCGCGGCATGCGATAATTAGCACTTCCAATGGACCAACATACTTTGTTTGGGTTGCGCATCATGCAATTTTTGACGCCTGGACTATGCAGATCAATATGGACGTCCTTCAGCGTTCTTACGCCCAAGATTTTCTCCCGACTCTTCGCCCATTCGCAAACTTTGTCCAATACGTCTCACAACTGGACCAGGAAGCGGCTATGGATTACTGGGCCGAGGAGCTAGAGGGTGCCCAAAGGGCTTCATTCCCACCGCCAAAGCTCGTGACTCAATCAGAGACGTCAGGAGCTCAGGGAATCCAAATTATGAAGAGAAAAATCGCAGTTCCAAGCCAAATCAACTCCTCTATAACAAAGGCTTCAGTACTTCGAGGCGCATGGGCACTCGTCCTAAGTCTACACTCTGAGACTGACGATGTCTGCTTTGGTACAACTATGTCAGGTCGACAGGCGCCAGTTCAAGGCTTAATTGACATGGCCGGCCCTACAATCGCCACAGTTCCTGTGAGAGTCCGCCTTGATCGTACGCAGCGCGTGTCTGAGTTCCTGCAAAATCTCCAGACCCAAGCCACTGAGATGGTAGCTTATGAACAGTTCGGCCTTCAAAATATTTCAAAGCTCAGTGCCAGTGCCAAGGACGCTACCGACTTCACTAGCTTGTTTGTTGTTCAGTCAAGTCAGACGCAACATGCGGAAAATCACGACAGAAAGCTTTTTACATCTGATTTGAATGACGAGACAAAATTGGAAACCTGGTTGGAAAGCTTTTTCAATTATCCCTTGACGATAGAATGTGATCTGATTGAGAACCACGCGATTCTAACGCTGTACTACGATGGAGATATACTGTCTGATCACCAGCTTCAGGGTCTTTGCAATCAGTATGAGCAGATTGTCCAACAGTTAAATTCTCAATACGAAGAGCCGCTCAACACTCTGTCGATGACTAGCCAATGGGATATTGAATTCGCCCGTGCTGCTAACCCCAATGCGCCTAATGTTGTTGATACCTGTATCCATACACTTATCGAAGAACGAACAAAAATAAGCCCGGATTCTGCTGCAGTTTGTTCTTGGGATGCTGATTTCACTTATTCCGAACTGGATGAGAATGCCAATAGGCTGGCTAATTATCTGATGAATGTGTTGAAAGTGAAAGCTGGCGACCTAGTTATGGTTTGCTTTGACAAATCTGCCTGGTTTGTTGTGGCGATCTTGGCTATCAACAAGATTGGTGCTGCTTGGGTGCCCATTGACCCATCACATCCAACTGAACGTCACCAAAGCATTGTCAAGCAAACTGGATCAACTTTGGCTCTCTGCACGCCTTCGAATTCGCTCAAGTGCAGCCAATTAGTTGCAACAGTCCTTGAAGTGAATGCGGAATTCATTTCCGAACTCCGAGGTATTGAAGCATATGTAGGCAAACCCGATGTGAAAGTCAGTCCTTATGATGTTTCATATATCATTTTCACATCCGGATCGACGGGAGTTCCCAAGGGTGTGGTCATCCAGCACAGGGCCATTTGTAGCAGCCAGGTTGCTCTGAGTCAGAGACTCGGTATGCACGCTGGCGTTCGAATGCTCCAATTCTCCTCATTTGTGTTTGATGCCTCGCTTTTCGAAATATTGTCTCCACTCATTTCAGGTGCTTGTGTTTGCATCCCTTCGTGGGATATGCAAATGAACTCATTGCCCGCTTTTATCCGGGATACCAATGTCACATGGGCATTTCTGACTCCCTCCCTTGCCGGTATTCTTAGTCCTCAAGATGTGCCTAGCTTAGAGCTTATTACAGTTGGTGGTGAAGCTCCAAGCAAAGAGGTCTTCGATATTTGGCTTGGTAAAGTGCGACTGTTTAATGTCTGGGGTCCTACCGAAACAACAGTTATCGCTACAGTTCACGAAGTAAAATCTACCTCTACCCAGGGATCGCATTTAACTATCGGTCAACCGATCTGCGGCAATTGCTGGATTGTTGACCCTGAAGATCCAACTAAATTGGCTCCTGTAGGAACTGTTGGTGAGATAGTTGTCCAAGGACCGAATTTGCTACGAGAATATCTTGCAGATCCAGAGAAAACAGCTGCTGCCACCGTCACCTCCCTCCCACAGTGGACTCCAAATCGTGAACTATGGAATCGGTTCTATAGAAGTGGAGATTTAGCCGTTTACAATTCTGACGGCACTATAAGGTACTGCAGCCGCAAAGATGGACAAATTAAAATACGTGGCTTGCGTATTGAGTTGGGAGAAATCGAACACCACATTCGCAAGAACATGGATACCCCGGGCCAAGTAGCTGTCGAAGCGCTCAGAAGCGAAGCTGGTACTAATCTGGTTGCATTCATATGCCGGAATAGTGATACTATTCCAGCCAGCATGACCAATAACATAACCAGCGAAGATATCGTCCTTCCTTTGACCGACGAGCTGAAAAGCAGCTTGGGAGCCCTGCGAAGTTCTTTAATATCTTCTCTACCTGGCTATATGGTGCCAACCTTCTTTGTTCCCTGCAAGAAGATGCCACTAGTGACGTCCTCCAAATTGGACAGAAAATCCCTGCTTCGCCTTGCCGCTACACTAGATGTGCAATGTCTTGAGCAGTATTCGTTATGTGCAGTGAACGAGGTCAAATCTAAGCCAGAGACAAAGATGGAGCAGGATCTGCGGGACATTTGGGCGGAAGTCTTGAAGATACCTGTTCAGTCAATTGGCAGACACGACAGCTTCTTGGCAATTGGTGGTGATTCTATTGCGATTATTCGACTCATTGCCTTGGCTCGCGACTATGGTATTGAGCTTCGAGCTAGCGATATCTTTAAAGATTCTCGGCTGTCCTCTGTTGCTCTCCAAGCGGTGTCTATCGCCGTCGCTGAGAAGCATACCGAAATAGCAAATCCATTCAGCCTTTTGCAACCACGAGTTCGAGATCATCTCTTAACGGCACGAATGAGGAAGGAGCTTAATTTAACCCATTCGATGGACCTTGAAGATGCATATCCTTGCAGCAACCTGCAGGAAGGTCTCATGGCCCTGGCTGTGAAGCAACCTGGATCGTATATCACGAGCTTTCACTATCGCTTATTAGGCCATGTAGATGCCTCCGACTTCAAAAGAGCCTGGGAGAAAACGGTGCAACTATGTGCCATTCTTCGAACCAGGATTATCCACCTCAATGGCTCGTCAATCCAAGTAGTGATTAATGGCGATACTTGGGATAATACAGACGGTATGACCGTGGCTTCTTATCGCCAGTCAATTCAAGATGTAGAAGCCGAATACGGGTCTCGCCTTTGCCGTTACGCGTTGATTCGAGAGAAGAGTAACGAGATACATTTCATCTGGACTATGCACCACGCGATATTTGATGGTTGGTCTATCCGAGTTTGTCTTGACACACTTAATAGCATGTATAAAGGAATCAACGTTACACCATTGACGCCCTATTATCGATTCATCCAATACACCATGGATATCAACTCCCGGTCCGCTTCTGATTACTGGGCTGAGCAGCTTCGTGATGCTAAGAAAGCCTCCTTTCCTCCCGATGCCAGTAAAGATCGACTAGATCATTCGAGCGGCGTTCGATCTATGGTTATGGATATTGACCTTCCTGAATTAAACATACCAGGCGTCACAAGAGCTACAGTTCTCCAAGCGACGTGGGCTGTTCTTCTTGCACGCTATTGCGATAGCGACGATGTCTGCTTTGGCACAACGATATCAGGGCGACAAGCCCCGATGCCTGGGATAATAGATATGCCGGGCCCAGCGATTGCAACCGTCCCCATGAGAATTCGAGTCGATCAGCAGAAATCGGTCACTAGATTCCTGAGCCAAGTGCAGGAACAAGTCCTGGCGATGGTGGAATTTGAACAGTTCGGCCTACAAAACATTCGCAAACTGAACAGAGATGCCAAAGACGCCTGCGAGTTCTCTAGCTTATTAGTTATGCAGCCGAAAGAAGCTCTGGATCCTTTAAGCGATGACGATGCAATTCTCACTTCAGTTGATCAGAAACTTAGCACTGGTGAATATGCTCTTCAAAATTACTTTAGCTATCCACTCGTTATTCAGGGACACCTGCATGATGACGCCACCGAACTTGTTCTCATCTACAACACCGCAGTCCTATCCGAAGAGCAAATAATGGCATTGTCACATCAGTTTCAGCATATAGCTAAGGAATTTGTCCTAGGCCTGCAGTCGGATGTTGGAGCTATCACGATTGCTTCTGCGTGGGATCATGAAAAGGCTGTCTCGTTCAATCCCGAGATGCCAGAGGTAGTAGAAGACTGCTTCCATCAACTTTTTGAATCACAAGCTTCAGAGACCCCTCATGCCATGGCAATCTGCGCTTGGGATAGGAGCCTCACATATGCTGAGCTGGACAACGCAGCCAACCGCTTAGCACATTATCTAATGGCTCAGCACGCGGTCAAATTGGATGAACTCATCCACGTATGCTTCGATAAGTCAGCTTGGTTCTTTGTATCAATTTTAGCTATTAACAAAGCCGGTGCTGCATGGGTTCCTCTCGATCCATCTCATCCTCCAGAGCGACTTCGCCAAATTGTTACACAAACAAAAGCCCAAGTGGTACTGACATCAGAATCTCATGCGGTGCTATGCAGCGGACTTGTGCCGCTGGTGATTGAGGTTTCAGAATCTCTTGATCGGCAATTATCAAGCAATAGGGGATATAGCTCAAGCTCACCGGTCACCAAGGTGTCACCCAATAATGCAGTATACGTCCTGTTTACATCCGGCAGCACTGGCATCCCGAAGGGTCTTGTCATGGAACATCGGTCTGTCTGCAGCAGTCAGAAAGCGATTATTAAGCGACTGAACCTTCACTCTAACGTCAGGATGCTCCAATTTGCGGCATTCGTGTTCGATCTCTCAATAGGAGAAATAATTGCACCACTTATATCGGGCGCCTGCGTCTGTGTTCCTTCGGAGCAGGCCCGTATGAATGATATTGCAGGCTTTATTCGAGAGACCGGTGTGACCTGGGCTTACCTTACACCCTCTTTCATTAGAGTCTTAAAACCAGAGGATGTCCCTACCCTCGAGCTGCTTCTCCTTTGTGGGGAGGTAACTCCCCGAGATGTCTTTAACACTTGGGTGGGCAAGGTCCGATTTATCAGCGGCTGGGGCCCAGCTGAGACATGTGTCTTCAGCACCCTGCATGAGTGGAAGTCAAATACCGAATCATCATTGACTATAGGCAAGCCCGTCGGAGCATTCTGCTGGATCGTTGACCCCGAGCGCCCTGATCAGTTGGCTCCCATTGGAACTGTTGGAGAGGTTATGTTACAAGGTCCAACACTTCTGCGTGAGTATCTTGACGACCCTGAGCGGACAAGGTCATCTGTCATTACATCACTGCCCAATTGGGCATTGCAAAGAGCACCTCAATGGGCACGCTTCTACAAATCGGGTGATCTGGCTATGTATAACCCGGACGGAACTATCGAGTTCTGCAGCCGCAGAGATACTCAAGTAAAGATTCGTGGTTTACGAGTTGAACTTAGTGAGGTTGAACATCGAATTCGTGAGAGCTTGGAAGGCATTCGTCAAGTTGCTGTGGATGTATTAACTTCTGATGGCGGCTCCAACTTGGTCTCATATCTCTGCTTCAGCGAAGAGATTCGTTCATCGTCAGACGCACAGGCTAATCTAGGTGACATTTTCTTGCCACTTACCGCTGAGTTTCAACCGTTACTTGCCGCAATGATAGGTCATCTGAAGGTGATCCTTCCTAATTATATGATACCTACTTTTTTCATCATGTGCAAATACATGCCTTCTTTCACGTCCACGAAGCTCGATAGGAAGGCTCTTCGTCAGATGGTATCTCTGCTTAGCCATGACCAAATATCGATGTATTCACTCCTGGATAGCAACAAACGCCCCCCGGGGACGGCGATGGAACGAAAGCTCCAATCAATTTGGGCGTCCATCCTAAGAATACCTGTCGATTCTATTGGTCGCGATGATAGCTTCTTACAGATTGGTGGAGATTTGATTTCTGCCATACACCTCGTGTCTAAAGCAAGAGCTGATGGCATTTATCTAAACGTGAAGGATGTTTTTGACGATTCAAGGCTGCTCATGGTTGCATCGAAGGCAATTCTCAGCGACAACATCGAAAAAGCGAACGAAATCATATCGCCATTTAGCCTTCTGCCAGAGTTGACTAGAGATGCAATCATCAGGCAAGCGGCTGATCAATGCGATATCTCACAAAATGCCATTGAAGATGCATACCCATGCACATCTTTGCAAGAGGGTCTTATGAACATAACTATGAGACAGCCAGGCGCTTATGTAGCCAAATACTGCTTTCGCTTGGCAGAAAAAGTTGACGCTCTGCGTTTTATTTCAGCTTGGGATCGAACTGTCGAAGTTTGTGCGACCTTACGAACGAGAATCGTAATCCTGGAGAACTCAACCATTCAAGTCGTCATTAAAAACGGATGTCAGTGGAATGACGAAGAGAAAACCTTGTTGCCCGTCCACAGCCAACGAGGTCTCGATATTGATTACGGCTTGCCACTCTGTGGGTATTCTCTGATTGACCATGGTGGTGCCAAATACTTTTGTCTCAAGTTGCATCACTCGATCTTCGATGGTTGGTCGCTTCGGTTGATCATGGGTAGTTTACACTCCAATTACGATGCAACAGATGTCTCTCCGCTCCATTCATATTCTAGGTTCGTCAAGTACAGCCTGAATATGGACCACGCTGCATCTGCCAAATTTTGGAGAGCTCAGCTGGAGGGTGCAAAATCAGCAGCTTTTCCAATGGGGAGCGAAGGACATCTAAACGACTCAAAGCGGCAAATGAAGCTTCAGACAACTTCAGTTAGCCTTAAACAGCTAGCCAATAGCTACATCACCAAAGCAACAGTCATCCGAGCGGCATGGGCAATTGTGCTGGCAAGATACAATAATGTGGATGATATCTGTTTTGGTTCCAGTGTCTCTGGTCGCCATGCTGAAGTTGCTGGCATAGAGTCCATCCCCGGTCTCGTGGTCGCCACGGTCCCCGTTCGTATTCGAATAGACAGTCAGAAAGCTGTGTCAACATTCCTAGAAGATATACAGTACCAAGCTGCTGATATGGTTCCCCATGAGCATTTCGGGCTGAAGAATATCTCAAATCTCAATGACGAAGCTAAGGCTGCTTGCGCATTCAAAACTTTATTTATTGTTCAGCCAGTTCAACAAATGAGCCATGAGAGTAATTTGTTCGACCTTACGACAGAAATTGAGGGAAGCAGCAAGGAAGAAATGCTTCAGAATTACCTGAACTATCCTCTTGTTGCCCAATGCATGCTGTCTGATGATAGTGTTGACCTTGATTTGTATTGTGATCTATCCGTGATTGCAGAGCACCAGTTACAGGGCCTTTTGCACGCATTCAAGCATGTGACTGAGCAGTTGCTCACCGCAAATGACCTGCTCTTGTCTCAAATCTCAGTTGAGGCACCTTGGGAGCATGACTTCGCGGCTTCAGCTAATGGCATCCCTCCTGTGGCCATTAAACAATGCATACATTCTCTTATTGAAGAAGAAGCAAAGAAGCACCCGGAATCTTACGCTATTCAGGCATGGGATGCTGATTTTACCTACCAGCAACTGGATATCTGTGCAAATAGGTTAGCCAACTATCTTATCAGCAGCCTTCATGTTAAAATTGGCGATATTGTTCATGTCTGTTTCGACAAGTCAGCCTGGTATATTGTGGCTATTTTAGCAATTAACAAAGCTGGCGCAACCTGGTCGCCGCTTGATCCCACCCACCCCGTTCGGAGATATCAGCAAATTATCTCACAAACTGGCTCCTCATTAATCTTGACCTCTCCAACAAATGCTTCAAAATGCGCAACTTTGGCAGATTCAATCTTAGAGATATCATCCGGTCCTTATGAGACTTTGGTGAAAGATGTAACTGAGCGCCGACCTGATGTCGCTGTAGCGCCAGAAGATGCTGCCTACATATTATTCACTTCTGGAACAACAGGTGTACCCAAGGGCGTCGTTATTGAACATCAGTCACTGTGTACATCCCAGACGGCCCTGGCTCAGAGGGTGGGTTTTACAAACGATACCAGAATGCTCCAGTTTGCCTCGTTCGTCTTTGATGCATCAGTACTTGAGATTATTGCACCCCTCGTCATGGGTGGTTGCGTATGTATGCCATCTTGGGACGAACAGATGAACGATTTGGCTGGGTTTATAGCCAGAGCTTCCGTAAATGCAGCATTTGCCACACCAACTGTTGCTCGCAGCTTAAGGCCAGAAGAGATACCTGGCGTTGAGAGGCTTGTTGTAGGTGGTGAGGCTGCAGCTTCAGATATTCTCGAAACATGGATTGGAAAGCTACGACTATTTAATGCTTGGGGCCCGACGGAGATATGCGTTGCCGGTTCCGTACATGAGTGGAAGGACATGAACGAATCCCCAATGACTATTGGGCGGCCTATTTTAGGCAATTGGTTCATTGTAGACCCAAATAATCCCATGCGAATGGTTCCCACAGGATGTGTCGGCGAGATTGTATACCAAGGACCAACTGTCTTCAGAGAATATTTGGCCAATCCATCCCAGACCCAAGAGGTTATAGTATCGTCGCTCCCGCCTTGGGCACCTAATCGCGATATGAGGGATTGGAGTCGATTCTACAGAACGGGTGACTTGGGACGTTACAATCCAGACGGCACAATGGAATATCTTGGTCGAAAAGATACTCAAGTCAAAATTCGTGGCCTTCGTGTAGAGCTCCATGAAATCGAACATCAAATATTTGCCCACCTTCCTAGGGTTCGTCAAGTTGCTATTGATGTTATGAAACGGGAGGAGACATCTCATCTGGTGGCTTATTATTGTTTCAGTAATGATACTCTCCCATCACATCTGGCAGTTGATGATGCAGGCAAAGGCGTGTTTTTGCCTTTACGGGTTGAGGCTATGCCTCAGATTCAGGATCTGATTGCTCATCTAAAGGGGGTTCTTCCACCTTATATGGTCCCGAGCACTTTTATCCCCTGCAACTTTATGCCAATTGCAACATCGACTAAACTGGACCGGAAATTACTTATCCAAATGGCTACATTGCTTTCCCGAGAAGAATTTGAAGCATATTCGCTGGTTGATAGTAGCAAACGCACTCCAGAAACGCCTATGGAGATAAGATTGCAGCAGCTCTGGTCTGGCATTTTGCATATTCCAGCGGAATCAATTGGAAGAGATGATAATTTCCTCCAAATTGGAGGCGATTCTATGTCCGTCATCCAACTCGTCTCCACTGCTCGTGAGAATGGAATTATTATTAGTGCCAGGGACATTTTTCATGATGCTCGGCTTCTCAGTGTAGCCGAGAGAGCTCAAAGCATTATCGGAGATGACCAGGATTTCAGCCCTATACAACCATTCAGCATGTTAGACCAACCTAACTTAGACTCGCTTCTTGCCGATGATACCAAATCTGTCATGGGATTGCGCGATGACATGACCATTGAAGACGCGTACCCTTGTTCAAAGCTTCAAGAAGGACTGATGGCATTGGCCATCCAAAAACCAGGATCATACATTGCCAGGTTCCATTATCGTCTCTCTGAGTCGGCAAATATGGACTCATTCAAGTCTGCGTGGAATAAAACAGTTGATATGTGCCCTAATTTGCGAACTCGGATCATGCACGTTGACGGCTGCTCTATTCAGACGGTGATCAAAGATGATAACGAGTGGGATTCGCTGGGTACGCAATCTCTGGATGACTACCTTGAGTCCTTGCAGGACATTAATATGCAATACGGCACCAAGTTATGTCGCTATGCACTCATTTCTCATCATGATGGTGTTCATTTCATCTTGACAATGCATCACGCAGTATTCGACGGATGGACGATGCGCTTGGTACTTGAAACACTGGAGAATAACTATAAAGGGATTCGAGTCAATGAACTGAAACCGTTTTCGCGCTTCATCGAATATACTCTAAATATTGATCACCAATTGGCAAGCGAATATTGGCTTGGTCAGCTTAATAACGCAAAGAAGGCCAGCTATCCGAACAGACTGGCTTCGAGTGAGCAACCTGCTGGCTCCAATAGTACCGGGAATTTCGAATGCGAGCTACTGATGCCTAAACTTTCTGCCAATATCACAAAGGCAACAATTCTACGGGCTGCCTGGGCGATCGTGCTCGCTCGCTATTGTGATGCGGATGACATTTGCTTTGGTACAACTGTCTCGGGTCGTCAAGCGCCGGTCACTGGATTAGCGGAAATGCCTGGTCCAGCCATTGCAACGATTCCTGTTAGGATTCACTTGGATCGCCAAAAAGATATATCTGAATTTTTGGAGGATATTCAAGCACAGGCATCTGAAATGGTTGCATATGAGCAATTTGGTTTGCATAATATCGCCAAGTTGAGTGATGATGCGAAAGACGCTTGTGACTTTTCCAGCCTACTCGTGATCCAGCCCAGACAAATTTTGTCGAGTGTTAACGGGGATGATCAGGCTCTTCTTGTTGCACAGTCTGATGATTCAGCAGGCGAATCATTAGAGAGCTATTTCACTTATCCTCTCGTCATTCAATCCCACTTGCATGAAACTGGTGACAAGCTCGTTTTCATATACAAGAAGCTTGCTATTTCTGAACAGCAGCTTGTTACACTCTCAAATCAGTTAAAGCACGTTATTTCTCAGCTCTTACGTCCTAAGCTATTATTAAAGGACCTCTCCATTACATCTGAGTGGGATGTTGAGCAGTCTATGAGATTTAACCCAGAGGTACCAGAAATCATGGACACTTGTGTCCACACACTTATCGAAGCCCAAGCTCATCGTGAACCTAACGCGCTAGCAATCTCTGCTTGGGATGGAGATTTGACGTACAGACAACTTAACGAGTCTGCAAATCGACTTGCTCACTATCTTGTCAAGAACTACAATGTCCAACCAGATACCCTCATTCACGTCTGTTTCGAAAAGTCGGTTTGGCATTTCGTTGCTATCGTCGCAATTAACAAAGCGGGTGCTGCATGGGTTCCATTAGATCCTTCTTATCCAGAGCAGAGGCTACGACAAGTGATAAGCCAAACGCGCTCTACGTTGGTATTGACATCATCCCGTAATGCAAAGCTCTGCTCGAACCTTATCAACAACGTTCTACGAATTGATGTTGAACTCGACAAGAGATTAATTATGACCGAAGATGGCCACAAAGGCCCAACTGTTGCTGTAACTCCCCGACATGCGGCATACGTGCTCTTCACTTCTGGAAGTACCGGGAAGCCAAAGGGCCTGGTAATGGAACACCGTGCCGTTTGTACGAGCCAAACAGCTATTGCAAAGCGGCTGAATTTGACATCTGATGTCCGGATGCTTCAGTTCGCTGCTTTCGTATTCGATCTCTCTATTGGTGAGATTATAGGGCCTTTAATCTCAGGTGCCTGTTTATACATACCATCGGAAGAGACAAGAATGAATGGCCTAAAACAATACGTCAATGAAACGAGGGTTAACTGGGCGTATCTTACACCTGCTTTCGTAAGAACTTTTGTTCCCGAGGATATGCCCGGCCTGGAGCTGTTGCTGTTAGCCGGTGAAGCTGTCCCCCGGGAGGTGCTATCCACCTGGTTTGGAAAGATCCGTCTCGTCAATGGCTGGGGCCCTGCTGAAACTTGTTGCTTCAGCACCCTCCATGAATGGTCCTCTGTGGATGAATCGCCACTTGTTGTTGGTCGGCCTGTCGGAGGATTTTGTTGGATTGTGAACCCAGATGATCCTCAGAAACTCACACCGACTGGTACACTAGGCGAAATTGTTATACAAGGTCCTACAATCCTACGCGAATACCTTGCTGATGTCGAACGCACCAAAGATTCAACTGTATACGCTCTTCCAAAATGGGCGCCTCGGCCAGACTCAGAGCACTGGAATAGGTTTTACAAATCTGGTGACCTTGGCTACTACAATCCTGATGGCACCATAGTTTTCAGTAGCCGCAAGGACACGCAAATCAAGATCCGCGGATTGAGGGTTGAATTAGGCGAAGTCGAACATTATATACACGAAACACTAGAAGGCGTATGCCAAGTCGTCGTTGACGTCTACCAAAAGGAAGGCCGGTCCAACCTCGTGGCATATATCTGCTTCAACGATGAGATGAAGAATCCATCTGCCGATGAAGAATTCACTGCAGCTGCTTTATTTGCATCTATTACGGATGATATGCGCCAGAGAATCGCTATTATGCTAGGGGAACTAAGGATTACATTACCGCAATACATGATCCCTACCCTATTCATCCCCTGCAACTTCATGCCATCCATCACATCTACCAAGCTAGATAGAAAGACTTTACGCCTTCTGATGGCTTCCCTGGATGACCAACAGCGCGCTCCATACAATCTTCTCAACACCCAGAAACGCGAGCCCGAAACTGAGATGGAAATTATACTACAGAGGCTTTGGTCCGAGGTTTTAAGCGTTCCTGTGAGCTCTATTGGTCGAGACGATAGTTTCCTACAAATTGGTGGAGACTCAATTTTAGCCATTCAATTAGCTTCTAAGGCTCGGGAAATGGGAATTTCTTTCCAAGTAAAGGATGTGTTTGACGACCCGAGACTGATGGCACTGTCTTCGAAGGCTACGAATACTACATATCAGGCTGAGACAGAAGTGACGCCATTCAGCATGCTATCTGATGATCTCAAAAACGAAATTCTCAGTGATGACATTCGCAGCCAATGTTGTCTGTCTGCCGAGCATGTTATCGAAGACGCCTATCCATGCACTTCGCTGCAGGAGGGTCTGATGGCCCTGACTGCTAAGCAACCCGGATCTTACATCGCAAATTATGTTTTCCGACTTCCTGATCATGTCAACATTCCTCGCTTTATGGCCGCTTGGGACCAGATGGCTGAGATTTGTTCTAACTTACGGACTAGGATTATTCATCTGAACGGAGTGTCCATCCAAGTAGTTGTTCGAGGTGGCAGCCAGTGGAAGCCTATAGAGGATCAGGCATTATCGTCTATTCTTGAGTCATCTAAAAATCTCAAAATGACCTATGGAACGCCTTTATCTTCGTGTGTTATCATATACGAAAACGACACACCTTATTTTGTGTGGTCAGCTCACCACTCCATCTATGACGGCTGGACGATGCGAATCATATTCAGCACATTGTATTCGGCCTACTACCGCGATACCATACTTCCCGTTAGACCGTATTCTTCCTTCCTCGATTACTACTCGAAATTGGATACCAAAAAGGCCACAGACTTCTGGATGGAGGAGCTAGCTGGGGCCAAGCGGGCAGAATTTCCGTCTACCCAACGCGCTACCTCTTCTGCTATGACTGATGTCTATCATTCAAGCGTTGCTCTTCCAAACTCACTTGATCTTTCTGTTACGAAAGCCACAGTTGTGCGCGCAGCCTGGGCACTAGTCCTTGCCCGGTATTGCGATAGCAATGATGTAACGTTTGGTACTACCGTCTCAGGCAGACAAGCCCCAGTCCAAGGGGTTGAGTCCATCGCCGGGCCTATGATTGCAACTGTTCCAGTTCGTGTTAGACTTGACAAACAGGCCTCAGTATCTCAGTTCTTAAGCGATGTTCAATCACAAGCATCTTCTTTAATTCCTTTTGAACAGTTTGGTCTTCAGAATATCGCCAAGCTAAGTCCAGATGCAAAGGAGGCCTGTGACTTTTCTAGTCTCCTTGTCATTCAGCCGCCAGTACATGACCCTTCCGGGGGAGATGATGGAAAAGCTCTTCTTTTGCAAAGCGATATTGAGCAAGAAGAGACAGAAAAGGCTATGCAAGGCTATTTCAACTACCCTCTTGTCATCATTAGCAGCATTGGAGAGCGTGCTATCCAGCAGCGGCTATTCTATAACTCAGCAGTTCTCACCAAGCTTCAGATGGAAGCATTATCGCATCACATGGAACACGTTATGCAACAACTTTTGAAAAACAGCGGCATGCAGAAGGATATCTCTTTGATCGACTCTTGGGACCTTCAGCAAGCCATCGATGCATCTCGTCTACGCCCTGCTACAGAGTCATGTACACATTGGCTGATTCAAGACAAGATCAAAGAACAGCCTGAAGAAACCGCTATTACATCTTGGGATGGTGATCTCACTTATGTCCAACTTGGGGTTCATGCCACTTGTTTAGCGGCCAAGCTACAGGATCTTGGTGTTGGGCCCGAGTCACTGGTTCCTATATGCTTCCATAAATCCAAGTGGGCAGTGGTCTCTATGGTCGCTGTTCAAATGGCAGGTGGTGCTTTCATTCCTCTTGACCCTGGCGCTCCGCCAGCAAGATTGCAGGGCATTCTACAGGACACAGGAGCTGCATTGGCCATTTCTGACCCGTCTAGTCAAGCAACATTACAATCCCTGGGTGTAGAAGTCATCACTGTGGATAATGAAACTATATCCAAGCTGCCTAGCTCGGTTGCTCTACAATGCGAGGTGCAACCTGCCAACGCCAGCGTTGTCCTGTTTACATCTGGCAGCACAGGAAGGCCCAAGGGCATGATCATTCAACATAACAGTCTCTGTTCATCTAGTGATGCCTATGGATCTGACCTGAATATCGGACTTGGCACGCGAGTGTTCCAGTTCTCGGCGTATACTTTTGACGTTGGTGTTTTAGATTGCCTTGTGTCGCTTATGAGAGGTGCCTGTATTTGCATTCCTTCAGATCATGATCGCCTTAATAACCTTGCGGCTGCTATTACTGCATCTCAAGCTACTTGGGTTTTCCTTACGCCAACTGTTGCCGATCTACTTCATCCAGTGGCCGTACCTACCTTGAAAACCGTCTGTCTTGGTGGCGAAGCTATAAGCAAGAAATGTGCTGAGAGATGGGTTAACCATGTGGATCTTCATGGACTTTACGGCCCAGCAGAGGCATCAATTTGTGCATGGAATTCTATGGTAGGGAAATTCGGGCGCTCAACAAATCTTGGACATCCGATTTCTAGTGCTTTTTGGGTTGTTGATGTCAATGACCCCAAGTCTCTCGTGCCACTCGGCTGTATTGGCGAGCTTCTCATTGAGGGCCCCATGCTTGCTCGGGGTTATCTAAATGTGTCAGCCGACATCGCCGCCAACTGGATGGAAGGAGTTGATTGGCTCCCTGGCAGCAATCAACCAAGAAGAATTTATCGTACGGGTGATCTGGTACGACGGAACGCAGATGGAACTTTTGATTACATTGGTCGTAAAGATACGCAGGTCAAGCTCCATGGTCAACGTGTTGAGCTGGGAGAAATTGAGGCTTGGGTTAACGAGTTCCTACCCAGTAACATGGCTGCCATTGTGGATGTTGCGAAGGACAATGATGGTCCTGATTCTTTATTGGCCTTCCTTTGGTACACTGAGGAAGCATCTAATTCACCAGCTCGCCTCATGGATGTTGTCTCTGATGAAGCACGGGCCGCCATCTTGCACCTAGATACATCTTTGAGCACGATTTTACCTCCATACATGATTCCTTCATCTTACCTTCTATTCGGTGGCAAGCCAGAACAAACTGTAACGGGCAAGATCAATCGAAAATCTCTTACCAGCCAAGCCCAGCATATTACCGCTCAAGACCGTCTACGCTTTGCTCCTGATACCAGCTTCCGCGTCCTACCTACTACACCTATGGAATTTAAGTTGAGGGAGCTTTGGGCTCAAGTTCTCCCTATCAGCCCAGAGGATATTTGCAAGAATGATAGCTTCTTACGACTTGGCGGCGACTCGATATCCGCTATCCAGCTGGTGTCTAAGGCTCAACTGCAAGGACTTAGCCTGACAGTTGCTATCGTTTTCCGAAGTCCTCGACTGGAGCAAATGGCTGCTGCTATGACAGAGGATGATTCAAATTCATACGATGAGATTCAGCCATTTGGCATGCTTCCGATTAAGGAATCTGATGTGATTTTGGCTGAAGCTCAAGCACAATGTTCGTTGCCTCTCAAGTCCGTCATTGAAGATGCCTACCCTTGCACCAAGCTTCAAGAGGGTTTAATGGCGTTATCTGTCAAGCAACCTGGCAGTTACATTGCCAAATACCTCTATCGCCTCCCCGCTCACGTTGATTTGGCTCGATTGAAGTCAGCGTGGAAACAAACTGTAGACATTTGCCCCAGTTTGCGGACGAGAATTATACACACTTCGACTAAAGCCACATACCAGATCGTCTTGGACCAAAGTTCTAGCTGGGAGCCGCTCCAATATCAGGATTTACGATCTGTTCTGCAATACGCTAAAACTATGAACATGAGTTACGGCACACCACTGTGCCAGTTTGCGTTCGTTGAAGACGAACAGGAAAATGTATTCTTCTTCTGGGCTATGCACCATACGATTTTTGACGGTTTATCTACTCAAGTTATTCTCAACATCCTACACAAGGCTTACCTAGGCGATGAAGTTCCCGTCACAACACCTTATTCGCGATTCATTCACTATCTTCTTCAGACAGATAGTGAGGCTGCCTCTGCGTATTGGAGAGATCTACTACATAATGCTAATCATGCGCCATATCCTCCTCTACAAAACACACATGATAAGCCTGCGGTAACATCCGTCTTAGAGACTTCGATTGGCTTCATCGATACTAAAGAGCTCAATGTCACGGTTGCAACCGTTGTTCGATCCGCTTGGGCCATGGTCCTTGCTAGGTATTGTGATACAGACGATATCTGCTTTGGTACCTCCGTCTCTGGTCGCCAAGCTCCTGTCCCTGGAATTGTTACCATGGTAGGACCGGCAATTGCAACTGTTCCGGTTCGAATCCAGATAGACCGTCAACAGTTTGTATCAGAATTTTTAGACGGTGTTCAAGAGGCGGCAGTAGAAATGATTCCATACGAACAATTTGGTCTGCAAAACATCTCAAAGCTCAGCCAGGATGCCCATGAGGCATGCCAGTTCTCAAGCTTGTTAGTAATTCAACCAATGAGCCACATTTCTAATAGTGAAAAGAGCAAGACTTTGCTAGTCGCTGCAGATACGACTGAAGAAGGGCTTTCGGATACTCTGGCAAACTTTTTCAGCTACCCTCTCATTGTACAAGGTCACGTTTATGATGACGAATTAAGAGTCGCAATGGCCTATGATGGAAATATTTTGACTGAAAGTCAAGTGCAAACATTATCTGACCAACTTGGCCACGTCATCCGCCAACTCACATCCAGTGGTGCCGTTACCCTTGATGACATTTCAATAGCATCCTCCCATGATTTGGAATTGGCTATTGCTTCGAACAGTGTTATACCTGCGGTCGTCGATTCATGTATCCACGAACTGATCGATGCCCGAGCCCAGATCTCTCCCGATGCACCAGCAATCTCAGCCTGGGATGCGGAACTTACATATAGCCAGTTGATTGCGGCTTCAAACAGGCTTGCATACCATCTCATTCACACTCATGGTGTAAAACCCAACGACCTCGTCCATGTATGCTTTGAGAAGTCCGCTTGGTTCTTTGTGTCGATTATTGCGATTAATAAAGCCGGTGCTGCTTGGGTGCCTTTAGATCCCTCTCAACCTGAAGAGCGATTACTCCAGATCGTCCATCAGACAGAGGCCCGGACGGCATTAGTATCGCCCAAGAATACGACACTGTGCACTAAACTAGTCGAAAATGTAATAGAGGTCACGGCTCAACTTGACAGACAATTGAGTTTATCTGTGTCGAAGTTATACGCGCCTCATCTGGCTGTATCGCCTTATAGTACCGCTTATATCATTTTCACTTCAGGGAGCACCGGAACGCCGAAAGGTGTCGTTATGACACACATATCTTTATGTACTAGCCAAACCGCTTTGGCCGAGAGACTTGGCATGACCTCAAGTGTGAGAATATTGCAATTTTCCGCTTTCGTTTTTGACATGTTCGTTGGCGAGACTATGACATCGCTCATCTACGGCGCATGTGTTTGCGTTCCGTCAGATAGTGAACGAATGGAAAACCTTGTTGGCTTTATTAACAAGAAGCAAGTGAACTGGGCTTTCCTCACGCCGACTTTTGCTCGTACGATCCAGCCAGAAGATGTTTCAGGCCTACAGCTCCTCTTAGTTGGCGGTGAATCTATCCCTCAAGACTTAGTTCTCAGGTGGTTCGGGAAGCTACGTCTTATCTGCGCCTGGGGTCCCACGGAGAGCTGTGTTATCAGTGCTGTGCACGAATGGACTTCTGCTGAAGAGTCTTCTCTTGTCATTGGCCGTCCAGTTGGTGGTTTCTGCTGGATTGTTGACCCAGATATGCCGCACCGCCTTGCTCCAATAGGCACAGTCGGCGAAATCGTTGTTCAAGGCCCAACACTCCTACGTGAATATCTAAATGACCCTCAACGAACTGAGGCTGCATTGATTCCGAAACCAACTTGGACTCCTCAGCCTGATCCTCAGCATTGGAATCGATGCTATAGATCCGGCGATCTATGTTTCTACGGGCCTGATGGCAATATCGTATTCAGTGGCCGTAAGGATACACAAGTTAAGATCCGCGGTTTCCGGATTGAACTTGGAGATATAGAACACCATATTCGCAGTCAATTAGACACTCCCTGTGACGTCGCCGTGGACGTCTTGAAAACTACTGCTGGAGCTAGCCTGATAGCTTTTATCAGCTTCAATATCGAAGCCAATGCGTCCATTGTTGACTCCGGTGCTGATATATTCCTTCAGCTCGAGCCCGACATGCAAAACAAGTTTAGTGCTTTGCTTGGGCGCCTCAAAGCTCTGCTGCCCCCATACATGGTTCCGGCAAACTTTGTTCCTTGCCAATATCTCCCGTTTACAACGTCTACAAAGTTGGACCGCAAGAAGCTAAAGACTATGGCTTCCAAGCTTAGTCCAGAGACTCTTGCTGAATATGCACTCTCCAAGTCGGAGAAGCACAGTCCGAAGACAGAGATGGAACACCGGCTACAGGCCATATGGGCTACAATATTAAGCATACCTGCCGCATCAATCAGCCGTGATGATAGTTTCCTGCAGATTGGCGGCGACTCCATTATGGCAATACACTTTGTTAATGCCGCCCGGGATGCGAATATTGGACTTACAGTATCCGATGTCTTTGATGATCCCAGGCTATTAGCCATTGCTGCTAAAGTGACTGATCTCACGAAATGTGATTCGGTGTCGGAAGTCACACAGTTTGCTCTTCTTGATGAGAGAGTGCGACAATCGCTATCAAGTCAAGAGTTACGGCACGCGTGTAATTTTGCTGAAGATAGCGTCATTCAAGACGCCTACCCCTGCACTAAGTTGCAAGAGGGTCTTTTGGCTCTTGCAGAGAAACAGCCTGGAAGCTATGTTGCAAAGTTTGTCTACCGCCTGAATGATAGCATTGACATTCAGAGGTTCAGAGCTGCCTTCGAAAAGACAATAAAGATTTGCAACAATTTGCGAACAAGAATCGTTGTTGTCGGAAACACGACGGTTCAAGTTGTTCTTGAGGATGACGTTGCGTGGGAGAATCCAGAGGGCACGGAGCTGCACTCATATGTCAAGTCCATGGATTCCTTCAAAATGGCTTACGGATCTCGATTACACCGCTATGCCATTATCGAAGACAATGGGGAGAGCTACTTTATATGGACTTTGCACCATTCTATCTATGACGGCTGGACGTTACGTCTCATGATGGAAGTTCTTCATTCGGTTTATCAGGATTGTACCCCTGTACAACTGCAGCCGTACAACAGGTTTGTAGAATATATTGCAAACCTTGATCATGAAGAAGCAAGAATTTACTGGGCAGCACAACTTCACGGCGCAAGCCGCGCATCGTACCCGCCTTTCTCCAACTCCGCAAAAGACTCAAACTCCTGTAAAACTCTAGAAAGAGATTTGGAGTTGCCTGAGATGACTGGCTTGTCAGTTACAAAAGCGACAATAATCCGAGCCGCATGGGCTATACTCCTTGCAAGATATTGCGAGAGCGAGGATATTTGCTTTGGAGTTACCGTGTCTGGTCGTCAAGCATCTGTTCAAGGATTGTCAGAAATGCCAGGGCCTGCACTTGCTACTGTGCCTATCCGTGTCCAGCTAGATAAACAGCAAACTGTATTGGACTATTTAGGCACCATGCAAAGTCAGGCCTCGAAGATGGTCCCTTATGAGCAGTTTGGGCTACAGGAGATTGCTAAAATTAACTCTGGAACTCAAGAGGCCTGCAATTTCTCGAGCCTGTTGGTTGTTCAACCGATGCAGCATTTAACAAATGAAGACGATGCAATGCTTATGCCAGTCCAAGTTGACTTGCAAGAAGAAAATACGATGCAGAACTACTTCAACTACCCTCTTGTCATTCAAGGCCATGTGCGAGATGAAAGCGTCAATCTTTTCTTCATTTATGATTCCAGCGTTCTCCCAGAGTCACAAATATTAGCTATATCTCACCAGTTGGAACATATTATGAAGCAACTCATCTTGAACCCGGCATCGCAGCTTAATGATTTATCTTCGACTTCTAATTGGGATGTTGAGTTCTCCCACAAAGTCAATAGCGAGGCTCTACCAGAAATCCTAGACACTTGCTTGCATACGCTTATTGAACTCCAAGCAGAGGCATGCCCAGACGCTATGGCTGTACAAGGCTGGGATAAAACATTCACCTACCATGAGCTGAACAGGGCAGCCAATCGGCTAGCTCACCATCTTGTCACGGAGATAGGTGTGAAACCTCATGACATAGTTCATGTTTGCTTCAGCAAATCAGCTTGGTATGTCGCAGCCATATTGGCAATCAACAAGGCTGGTGCTGCTTGGGGCCCCATTGATCCATCACATCCTCTTCAACGTCATAAACAGATTGTCAGCCAAACAAAAGCACGAGTTGCACTTGCGTCCCCAGACAATGTTGAGAGATGTTCTAAATTAGTCCCTTCAGTCGTTGCAGTCTCGTCGTCCTTAGATTCCAATCTCAGTGAGAAGAACTACGATAGTCGTAGCGGGCCCGACGTTACAGTAACTGCTCTTCACGCTGCCTACGTCTTATTTACTTCTGGCAGCACAGGTACGCCAAAGGGCTTAATCATAGATCACGGCGCGCTCTGTACAAGTCAAACAGCTGTTGGAAAACGCTTCGGGTTTACGCCGAAGGTGAAGATTTTACAATTCACCACTTATGTGTTTGACTTTTCCATCAGCGAAATCATAGCAGCCATGTTATTTGGTGCTTGCGTATGCATTCCATCCGAAGAAACCCGTATGAACCGGTTGAAAGATTTCGTCCAGGAAAGTGGCATAAACTGGCTATTCCTGACTCCATCCTTTTTACAAACACTAAAACCCGATGAAGTGCCAAACGTAGAATTGGTAGCGGTTGGAGGCGAGCCTCTCCCTCGTGCTTTGTTTGAAGAATGGGTTGATAAAGTGAGACTCTTCAATTGCTGGGGGCCGTCAGAAACCTGCGTTATGAGTGCAATGCACGAATACAAATCAGCAGACGAGTCAAATATGACCATTGGAAAGCCAGTTGGCGGATTCTGTTGGATTGTCGATCCAGAAGATCCGCAGAGACTTGCACCGGCGGGAGCAGTCGGTGAGCTGATTGTGCAAGGACCTACTCTATTGCGCGAGTATTTAAATGATCCTGCAAAGACCGAGGCTTCGATATTGTGCACCCGTCCTGATTGGGCTTTATGTCCTGATACGGAGCATTGGAATCGCTTTTACAAGTCAGGAGACCTTTGTTCTTATAATCCCGATGGTACTATCCAATTCCATTCGCGCAAGGATACGCAAGTCAAAATTCGCGGTCTGCGTGTGGAGTTGGGCGAAATTGAATATCGCATTAAAGAAGCTCTCCGCGGCGCTCTTCAAGTTGCTGTTGATGTCTTCAAGTCTGACACTGCCTCAGTTCTCGCTGCGTACTTTTGCTTTAGCGATGCCACTGCAGTCATCTCAGGAACAGACGCCAATGATGTTTTCATGCCGTTGACGGAAGAAGTTCAACATCGCATTGCAGCCATGGTTGAAGAGATCAAGATTTCACTTCCAGAGTATATGATTCCTACCCTTTTCATCCAGTGCCATTATATGCCCACTACCACATCTGGAAAGCTGGATAGAAAGACTTTACAAATGCTCACATCAGTCCTCAATCAAGACCAATTGGCGGGTTATGCATTAGTGAACAGTAAGAAAGTCATGCCTAAAACTCCAATGGAGTGCAAGCTACAGGCCATCTGGGCAGACGTCTTGGCTGTTCCTATGGAAACAATTGGCCGCGATGACAGCTTCCTCAGCATCGGCGGTGATTCAATTGCTGCTATCAGGCTAGTGGCCGCCGCCCGTGATAAAGGGATTGCGCTTACAGTGAGCGATATTTTCCAAGATCCTCGACTATTATCCGTTGCCTCCAGAGCTTCTTTCACGGACGATAACGAGGAATTGGCGGTTACTCATATCGCACCTTTTACCCTACTTGACGAATCCCAACATGACTTGATCTCCAATAGCCCTACTGATCCGGTCTTAGCATTGCCCCGTGGCATTGACATAGAAGATGCCTATCCCTGCTCGAAGATGCAAGAAGGCCTGATGGCACTATCAGTCAAGCAGCCTGGCTCTTACATTGGGAAATATAACTATCGTATTCCGTCTCACGTTGATGTCACCAGGCTAAAAACAGCATGGGAGCACATCGTCAACCACTTCACCAATCTTCGTACAAGAATTATCAGGCTTGGTGCAACTTCTGTCCAGATTGTTGCCAAGGATGACATCGCTTGGGACTCTACGGACCAAATGACGCTCCGATCGTATCTGCAAGAAACTCGAGTCATGGAAATGGGTTATGGTTCGCGCCTATGCCGCTATGCTATTATTAAAGATGACGGATGTTTTTACTTTTCCATGAATATCCATCACGCCGTCTATGATGGCTGGGCGCTGTCCGTTATCTTCCAGGCCTTCCATCAAGCTTATAGAGGCCTCGAGCTTGCCAGTCTCGTCCCGTATTCCCATTTCATCAAATACACTATGGAACTTGACTACGAAGCCGCTGGCAATTACTGGGCAAAGCAACTCCGGAATGCTCGAAAAGCAGCATTCCCCTCCGTTCCAATTGAGTCCACCAGTAAGCCAGATGCTTCGCGTACAGTCACAGCGGAACTTGAGCTTTCAAGGAGCAATTCAAATATCACCACAGCCACTATTGTGCGTGCCGCTTGGGCAATAGTCCTTGCACGCTATTGTGATAGTACCGATGTTTGCTTTGGCGCAACAGTCTCTGGACGGCAAGCATCCCTGCATGGCTTGACACAAATGCCTGGCCCAGTAATTGCCACCATACCCGTCCGTATTCATCTCGAAAACCAGAAATCAACAGTAAAATTCCTGGAGGACGTTCAAACCCAGGCAATGGAGATGATACCCTATGAGCAATTTGGCCTACAGAATATCCGCAGACTTGACAGTGACGCCGAGGACGCGTGTGATTTCACAAGCTTGCTTGTCGTTCAACCTCTCCAAATGTTCTCAAATAATGACAGTGGCAGTGAAGATACCCTTTTGGATGCTATCGAAAGTACAGAGGAGGATACAGATGGAATGCAAAATTATTTCTCGTACCCCCTTGTGGTTCAAGGCCATTTGAGCGACGATTTTGTCAGAATTGTTCTAATCTACAACCCGCTGTGTATTGCTGAGCAACAGATTATGGCATTGTCTGAACAGCTCAAGCATGTCATCACCCAGCTAGCCGAGTCACAACCCAACCAGATACTAGGCCATCTATCTCTCGTTTCCCAGTGGGATATTCAACAGTCGCACAAGCTCAACTCCGATGTTCCCGAGATTATCAATTCTTGTTTCCATCATCTCGTTGAAGATCAGGCTACTTATCGCCCCAATGCTATGGCTATCCGTTCTTGGGATGGTGACTTCACCTATGCCGAGCTTAACCAAGCAGCTAATCGTCTTGCGAACCATCTCGTTCAGACATACGATATTCAGACAAATGAGCTGATACATGTGTGCTTTGAGAAGTCCATCTGGTATTTTATATCAATCTTAGCTATCAACAAGGCTGGTGCTGCTTGGGTGCCAATTGACCCGTCTCATCCTGTACAGCGCCTCCGAGAGGTTGTCAATCAAACTAAGGCAAAGATTGCGCTCTGCTCGCCAGAATACATTGATATCTGTTTCACTCTCGTTGAATCCGTCGTTCAAGTTTCTCCTGGATTGGATACCCAGCTTTTACAACTTGTAAGCAGTCAACAAGGTCCCGCAAGCGAAGTCTCTCCAAGCAATATTGCCTATGTGCTTTTTACGTCAGGCAGCACTGGCACTCCGAAGGGTCTAGTAATGCAGCATAGATCTGTGTGTACAAGCCAGATGTCGATTGCAAAGAGACTTGGGTTGACACCAGAAGTTCGCATGCTTCAGTTTGCAGCGTTTGTTTTCGATCTATCAATTGGCGAAATTATCGCTCCCCTCATTACAGGAGCTTGCTTTTGCGTTCCATCAGCACACTCGAGAGTAAATGAGCTTCCAAAGTTCATTCAAGACATGAACGTTAACTGGGCGTATCTGACGCCTTCGTTCGTACGGACTCTCAAACCAACAGATGTTCCAGGTCTAGAACTTTTACTGCTTGCCGGTGAAGCAGTTCCTCGTGATGTGCTTACGGCCTGGTTTGGTAAGGTTCGTTTAATTAATGGCTGGGGGCCAGCCGAGACTTGTGTACTCAGTACTTTACACGAGTGGAAATCGATTGATGAGTCGTCTCTTACAATTGGACGCCCTGTCGGCGGCTTCTGCTGGATTGTCGATGCTGAAAATCCAGAACGCCTTGCACCTTTCGGTACGATTGGTGAAGTCGTCATCCAAGGTCCGACTCTCTTGCAGGAGTATCTTGCAGACCCAGAGCGCACCAATGCCTCCACCATGCCATCCGCTGGATGGGCTCCTCACCCGGATGGGACGAACTGGAACAGATTCTATAAGTCGGGTGATCTTTGTCGTTATAACGCAGACGGCACTCTTGAGTTTTCGACACGCAAAGACACGCAAATTAAGATTCGTGGTCTGCGTGTTGAACTGAGTGAAGTTGAATACCACATCCAACAAGCTTTAACGGGTGTGCAACAGGTAGCCGTTGACGTTTTCAGAGGCGAGAGTGGCTCTAATCTTGTTGCCTACATTTGTTTCAACAATGAGACAAGGACGGCAGGTATCCAAGTTGACAAAGAAGAGACGCCTTTCTCATCTCCCGACGAAAGCCTACGGAACCAGCTGGTTGCTCTCGCGGGAGAACTAGCCCTCGCCTTGCCCCGCTACATGATCCCAACGTTGTTTATTCCTTGCCAGTATATGCCATTCATCACCTCTACAAAATTAGACAGAAAATTGCTCCAGAGGCTGCTGTCGTCGCTTAGTCAAGATCAGCTGGCGACATATTCATTAGCCAACAGCGAAAAGCGTCAGCCAGAGACCGAAATGGAGCAACGCTTACAGCTAATCTGGGCCGAGATCATGAATTTGCCAATGGACTCTATTGGCAGAGACGATACTTTCTTCCAGCTCGGTGGCGATTCCATTATGGCTATATATCTCGTGTCAACAGCGCAGCAAGATGGCATTTCACTTACCGTGAAGGATGTTTTTGATGACCCCAGATTACTCGCTGTTGCCTCAAAAGCTGTTACAATTGAAGATGCTGTAGATGAAACAGATTCTACTCCAGAGCCATTTAGCCTCTTGCCTAAATCACAGCAAAGCCTTGTCCTTGAAGGTAAGGTTCGCAAAGAGTGCGGCCTTCTCAAGGACCAAACTATCATTGATGCATATCCCTGCTCTTCTCTCCAGGAAGGTCTCATTGCTCTTACTGCAAAGCAGCCGGGGTCATATGTTGCTACCTATGCCCACCATTTATCGGACTCAGTGGACATTCCCATGTTTATGGCTGCGTGGGACTCGGTCGTGGAAATGTGCGACAACCTTCGAACACGAATCGTTGTGTTGGATGGAGTTATGACGCAAATAGTACTCGACAATCATAGTAATTGGGTGTCTGCCGATAATGAGACTCTCGAGTCAATGACTGGATCGTCACGGAATTTGAAGATGGGGTACGGAACTCCGTTATGCTGGTACGCGATTGTGTCGGACAAGGGTGAAAACTACTTCGTCTGGTCCGCTCATCATTCCATTTACGATGGATGGACAATAAGAGTCATGTTCTCAGCTCTGTATAGTACCTATCAAGATGGTTATGCACCTGAAATACGACCGTTCTCTACGTTCATCAAATCGATACGGGAGCTTGATAATAACAAGGTTGCATCATACTGGAGGGAAGAACTAGCCGGAGCAAAACGTGCCACGTTTCCACCTCGCCGAAGTGCCCTAAGTAGCACAGAAACCAAGAGATATAGCTCAACGATTGCGTTCTCAAGAGCTGTAAAGAGCTCCATCACACAAGCCTCGATTCTGCGAGCTGCATGGGCCATTGTCCTTGCCCGTTACTGCGATAGCAATGAGGCGGTTTTCGGTGCAACAGTTTCTGGTCGTCAAGCAAAAATACAAGGAGCGGAAATGATTGCTGGACCAATGATTGCCACGGTTCCTATCAGAGCCCGTCTTAATAGCCAGGCACCGATATCCAGATTCCTCCAAGATATCCAGAATTTGAGCACAGCCATGATACCTTATGAACAGTATGGCATACAGAATATCTCTAAAGTCAGTCCAGAAGCCAAGGAGGTTTGCGACTTCTCAAGTCTGTTGGTCGTTCAGCCTCCTGCACACGGGGCAGTCGATGATGCGGATGATGGCATATTTGTTCAAGACGAATCCGCAAGCGACCTCACAATGAATGCCATGGACGGCTACTTTAATTACCCGTTTGTCATCATTGCCAATCTCTATGCCGATAAATTCCATCTGAATCTCTTTTACGACCCTACGGTATTATCAGAGTCTCAAGTGGTTGCTTTGGCATCTCATTTGGATCACGTCACTCAACAAATAGTCGCAAAGGAGGCAGTCAACACACCTCTAAGCTCAGTGTCTCTTCTCAGCCCCTGGGATCTCAATCATGCAGTTGAATCAAACAGATTAAACCCTTCCAGCGAGACTTGCGCGCATTGGCTCATCCAAGAAACCATCCAATCTCGACCAAATGACATAGCTATCGCGTCTTGGGATGCGGAGCTCACTTACTCTCAAGTCGGCACATTCGCTTCTCGTTTGGCGGTCAAATTGCAAGAACGCGGAGTCGGCCCCGAAACTCTGGTTCTTTTGTGTTTCCCCAAGTCAGCGTGGGCTGTCATCGCCATGGTGGCTATCGAAATGGCTGGCGGCGCCTTTGTTCCTCTTGATCCAGCAGCTCCAGCCGCTCGATTGAAAGGCATCATTGATGACACTCATGCTGTTCTTGCTATAGCCAGTCCATCTACTGGTACGGTGCTTGAGGGATTAGGTGTCGAAATTATATCGGTCGATCAGGAAATGCTTTCTGCACTACCTGACCCAACTCATCCAGTCGTGTCCAACGTCCAACCTCAACATGCAAGCGTCATTCTTTTTACCTCCGGTTCTACCGGTAAGCCAAAGGGCATGGTTATCCAGCATAACAACCTTTGCTCATCAAGCGACGCGTATGGAGATAAACTTGACATCGGGCCGGGAACACGAGTCTTCCAATTTTCAGCTTACACATTTGATGTCGGCATTCTAGACTGCCTCGTATCTTTAATGCGCGGCGCCTGTCTCTGTATCCCCTCTGACCACGACCGGATGAACAATCTATCAGGTGCCATGCGGTCTCTAAAGGCCAATTGGGTATTCCTGACCCCCACTGTTGCCGACCTTTTGTCTCCCACTGATGTCCCTGACCTAAAGGTGGTATGTCTCGGTGGTGAGGCTATTAGCAAGAAGTGCGCAGATCGCTGGGTAAATCATGTCGAGTTACATGGCCTCTATGGACCGGCTGAGGCATCCATCTGCGCGTGGAATCCCACAGTTGGCAAATCTGGTCGGTCGACCAACCTTGGTAGACCAATCTCCAGTGCATTCTGGGTCGTTGAACCGAGCAATATCAGACAGCTTGTACCTGTGGGGTGCATAGGTGAACTTCTTATTGAGGGCCCTATGCTTGCCCGTGGCTATTTGAACGTTAGTGCTGAAGTTGCTTCCAGCTGGATGGATGACGTGGATTGGCTTCCTGGGGAGAAGAAGAGAGTGTATCGCACAGGCGATTTGGTTCGCCGGAACCCTGACGGCACATTCGAGTACATGGGACGAAAAGACACTCAAGTCAAGCTTCACGGCCAACGAGTGGAACTTGGTGAGATTGAGTCCCAAATTCATCACTTTCTCCCTGATAATATGGCTGCTATGGTCGACAATCTCAAAGCGGATGATGAGAATGCGCATGATATTCTTCTGGCCTTCCTTTGGTATACCGAAGAAGACAGTGCTCAATCGCAAAGTCTCCGTCTTATGCACTCTCTACCAGAAAAAACGCAGAGATTCATTTGCCATTTGGATTCATCGCTGGCAGAAGCTCTCCCCTCATACATGATTCCTTCGTCGTACTTAATATTTGAGGGTAAGCCAGAACAGACGACATCCGGAAAAGTTAATCGACGCGCTCTGGTGGAACTTGGCCGTAGCGTCTCTGTCCAGGATCGCCTGCGCTTCACTCCTGATGCTGGTGACCATGAATCACCCACAACTCCAATGGAGTTGCAACTGCAAGCTCTCTGGGCTCAAGTCCTTAAGATTGAAGATGTTACAGTCATTGGAAAGCACGATAGCTTCCTTCACCTTGGTGGTGATTCAATCACTGCAATCGAATTAGTCTCATTAGCCCAGCGACAGAACATTGGCCTCACGGTAGCGCTGATTTTCAATAATCCGCGACTTTCATCCATGGCAGAGGCCATCCATACAGAACTTTCTCCGTCGTCTTCAGCAGAAGATGTTGCTCAATCTGGTCTCATCTCAAGCATTGATAAGCAGACTGCCCTAAGGGCAGTCAAAACCCAGTGCCATCTTTCTGATTCTGCGGAAGTCGAGGACATATACCCATGTACGGATCTTCAAACAGGTCTAATGGCTTTGACTATCAACCAACCAGGGTCTTACATCGCAAAACATGTCTACCGTCTCGGATCTCATATCGACATTGAGCGCTTCAAACTAGCTTGGGAACAAACAGTGAATTACTGCACCAACCTTCGTACCCGAATCGTGCTCTACGGAAACACTGCAGTTCAAGCAATTATCCAAGAACCAATTGACTGGTCATCCACTTATACCGATCTTCGTTCTTTCCTCCTATCACACGAAAATCGCAATATGACTTATGGCTCGCCGCTCTGTCGATACGCCATGATTGCTCAAGGCAGTGAACATTACTTCGCCGTAAATATTCATCACACTGTCTTCGATGGATGGACTTTATCAATCGTGCTGAGAACATTGCATGCTATGTATTCTCAAGTTCAACCACCCTCGATTCAACCGTATGCCAATTTTATCAGGTATATTATGGATCTTGACCAAGAGAATTCCCGCAACTATTGGTCTACACAACTGCGTGGTGTCAAACGCACAATGTTCCCTGTGGGACTCACTCAACCGAAGCCTTCGTCTGCTGCACAGAAAATTGCAGGCTTGCTGAGTAAACAAGTACACTTCCCACGTCCGTCGAAATCCTCCATCACCCGTGCTACTATATTGCGCGCAACATGGGCATTGTTGCTAGCGCGATATGATCACGTTGATGATGTTTGCTTTGGCACAACCGTCTCTGGACGACAAGCTCCAGTACAGGGCGTGGATGAGATGCCTGGGCTTGTCATTGCCACGGTTCCTGTACGAGTCCAGCTTGACAAACAGCAAACGATTTCCGCTCTCCTCGACACCATCCAGAATCAAGCATTTGACATGATACCTCATGAGCAATACGGGTTGGCAAACATCTCCAGGATTAGCAATGACGCCAAGGAAGCATGTAATTTTACAAATCTCCTCATCGTTCAGCCTGCTCAACAATTCATTCAGGCCGGCGATGCAGCGGAGCCAGCTATTTTCCATCCGGTTGTCGCTGAAGGCATTACTGAAGGCGAACTCCTCGGTGACTACTTCAGCTATCCTCTTGTCATGCAGTGCCAATTGCTCGAAGAGGGTGTTGAGTTAGGCCTGATATATCAACCGGATGTTATCAACGACTCTCAAGTGAATGCCCTTGCCGAACAATTCGCTTACATCCTTGAACAACTCCAGAGTGCTGGTGATACGACATTAGCAGAACTATCTGCTGCTAGCCCTTGGGATGTAGAACAAGCTATTGAGCGCAACAGCTACAGCATCGGGCCAATCGAATCGTGTGTGCACGAACTGATCTCGATTCAGGCTGCTAAGAATCCCCAGCAGGAAGCTATATACTCCACTTCTGGAAGCATGACGTATAGAAAAGTTGACCAGTTATCGAATCAACTTGCTTCACATCTCATTCGGCTTGGTGTTAAGTCTGAGACTATTGTGCCTTTCTGTTACGAAAAGTCAATGTGGTCAATTATTGCTATGCTAGGTATCATCAAGACCGGCGGTGTCTTCCTACCATTAGATCCGTCCCATCCACTCAGTCGCCGTCAGGCCCTGGTCGATGAAACAAGCGCCCAGTATATGATCGTTTCTCCCACCACAGCCAAAGAATGTAAAGGTATGACCAAGAACAACATTGAGCTCTCGCCGAATTTCTTTTCGAAGAAGAAACGTTCTTCTACAGCTCGAAAATTCAAGCCCATGAAACCTCGGCCCGGAAGTGCAATGTATATTTTGTTTACTTCCGGATCAACTGGAAAACCAAAGGGTGTGATCATTGAACACAAACCCATATCCAGCTTCCTAGTAAAGCTCTGTGAAGTTGCCCAGTTTAGCGGCAAATCCAGAATACTTCAATTTTCCAGCTATGGCTTTGATGCTTCTATTTTCGAAATCTTTGCCATTTTGATATCTGGAGGTACTGTGTGTGTTCCTACAGAAACGGAGCGCATGCAGCATACATCGACGTTTATTGAAGAAGCTAAGATCAACACCGCTATTCTTACACCGACATTTGTCAAGACACTCAGCCCAGAGTCGGTTCCCTCACTGAAAACCCTATTCCTTTGTGGAGAGGCTCCTTCTAAAGAGGTCGTAGACTTATGGCGCCAACATGTTAGCCTGTGGAATGCATATGGGCCTACGGAAACCTGCATCGTTTCCACTCTCCAGCACTATACAGATGTATCAGTACCAGTTACGACCATTGGCCGTGGGTTCGCTCATCATTGTTGGGTTGTCAATCCAGAAAATCATGATGAGCTTACCCCTATTGGGTGTGTAGGTGAACTCCTAGTACAAGGAGACTCTTTATCCCGTGGTTATATCAATGATGAGGAGAAGACGAATAACGCATTCATCAACCATGTCAAGTGGCTTCCCGCCAATATCGATGTCGGAAAGCGCCGGTTTTACAAGACTGGTGATCTAGTCCGATACAACCCTGACGGAAGCTTTAACTACCTTGGCCGAAAGGATACTCAAGTCAAGATTCGCGGCCAACGTATTGAGCTGGGTGAAATTGAGTATCAGATTAAGCTTCACTTACCTGACCTCAAGCACGCGGCGGTTGACATTATTCGTCACGATACACATGAGTCTCTAGTTGCATTCGTGAACTTCTCTGGCGACAAGGGCCCCAGCGAGGTTGCTCAGGTTCAGTTGGTGTCACATAACGACGAGCTGCAAGAGCTCTTCTCTCAGTTGGTCACAAACCTTACTACAGTTTTACCAAGCTACATGGTTCCCAAGTATTTTATTGCTGTCGAGTCCATGCCACTCAATACGGCTGGCAAGCTTGACCGAAAAGCGCTTTTGCAGACAGCGACAAGTCTCTCCACCGAAGATTTGGCAGTTCATTTGGCTGGTCAGCGTCTGCCATTCCGTGATGCTACATCCGAACTCGAGCACTGGATCCGAGTCCAGTGGGCAGATATTCTCGAAATGCCAAGAGAAACAATAAGCGTAGACGACAATTTCTACCAGTTGGGTGGTGACTCTATTCGCATCGTCAACATCTCGAGACGTATCCTTGATAAATTCGGTGTGTCCCTTGGCAATACGCTCATGAACAGCAAACACACCACGATCAGCAATATGGCCAAGTATATTTCTCTCAGCGCGGAGAATGGGGCGACAGAGGTAGATCACTCAGATGCAGACATAGATTTAATGGTCAAGATCAATTCGATTTCTCAGTTGCCTTGGATGTTACAACCACAAGGCCTACAAGGAAACCCCATAAAGACACTACCTGAGCAAGCAACAGTTTTCCTAACGGGAGCGACTGGTTTCCTTGGTACGGAGATTTTGAGGCAGTTGGTGCGAAACCCTGCAATAAAATCCATCGCTGTTCATGTCCGTTCGAAATCACTAGAACAAGGGATGGGACGCGTCCGGGAGACAGCCAAGATCGCAGGCTGGTGGAGTGAGGAGGATGCAGAAAAATTGGAAATCTGGTTGGGTGACCTTGCTAAGCCACATCTCGGCCTCGCAGACGCTCAGTGGAAACGTCTTTCTGGTCTATCGAAATCAGACACCAACATCGACGCAATTGTCCACAACGGAGCATCTGTCAACTGGAATGCCAACTATGATACTCTTTGTGCTGCCAATGTTACTTCCACTGTTGATCTGTTGAAGGCAACAGCAACATCACCACAGCAGCCCAAGTTCGTGTTTGTATCCGGTGGTGCCTTCATGGATCCAGCCGAAAATCAAGCCGTGTCAGCAGCGCTTCTCAAAACCGTCAATGGCTACTCTCAAACTAAGTTCGTCTGTGAATCTGTCATTTCGAACATTGCCAGAAGCCTGCCTATCAACCAGAATCGAGTGTCAACTGTCAAGCCAGGGCGTATTATTGGTACGGCAGAGCACGGTGTTGCCAACGTCGATGACTTTGTCTGGCGCGTGGTCTCTACTGCAGCATCAATCCACGCTTACCCAGAGGAACCATCAGAACATTGGATGGTTATGCAAGATGTGGGCATAGTTGCGTCAAACGTTCTGAACCAGCTCTTTGCCGATGACATCAAGCCATTCTGGATGCTTGCAAGTGGTATGCCCATGTCTGTCTTCTGGGATCGCATCAATTCTGGACTAGAAGTCCCATGCAAACCGGTATCTTGGCAGGAGTGGATCGAACTCGCATTAGCATCGATGAACAGAGTTGGTAACAAGCATCCATTGTGGCCTGTACAACAATTCCTTGGCCAGCTTGGCCTACCGCCAACTATTGTACAATTGTCAAATGCCGGCACTCCTGAGTGTGAACAGTCTATGTCGGCCGTTGAGAGTAATGTGAGATATCTCAGGAAGATTGGCTTTATTCGTTCATCAGAAGATGCGTTTGACAATGTTCAGCGTGAGGGCACGATTCGGCGTATGCATACACTAGGGGGCTAAAGCATAAGGGTATCTCTATTTCGTGGTTGTTCTTTCTTTATCTTTTCTTCTCACTGGGGTTTGTTTATAGTCGTTCTTTTCTACGTGTTAAAATTACTTCCAAATAAGGCTTTCTTTAAAGCCAACTTTCTTCACTTCATTCATTTTACCAATTGATAGACATAGTTTACAAATGCCAAACGGCAATATTAGACTAGATTTATATCTGTTTCTTCACTTAAGTTATTTCATCCACTGTGATGTCTACCCATTTGCGCGATGTGATCTCGTAAACATTCCCTCCTGCCATACATAGCGCCCTCTCTCTGCCATATTCCCAACTTTGATGGCCTCGAGACACGTTTTCTTATTTGGACTCATTAATTGGACGGAATTCCTGACTCTTTGGAGAACCTGGCGATGGTGGGGGGAGATCACAGAGATCTTTGCACGGATCGCACATTATGAAGCATCTTTTGATGTTTGGGTCGATTATGAAGGTGCGATTCTTGCAATCCTGCTTACTGTTTCCATTGTTCCTATCCATGCCGTGTCGCACCACCAGCCGGTTAGGGTCTTCGTTCGTGTAGTAGTCTAAGCACATGGGACCTTCTCTGAGATATGTGCTTATCCAGAGGATATGGCCACCGTGCTTCTGCATTACTTCACTGTCAAATTGACCGAAAGCGTCCGTTTTTCTTCTGCAAGCTGGATCTTGGCAGGCGCAAAGAGTGACGGAGATTCGAAACTTGCACATGGTGTCTGCTGAAGCATTAGCCTTTCAACAGGCAAGAGGTAAAGAGTCAGTCGATATTCTACCTTTCAAACAACTTTATAAAGACTTGAATAGCAGACTCAGTTTGAGGTGGATTGCAATCTTTCCTCGGGGTGGGAGTATGGCTTAATATGTAGTTAATCTGAAGTGAATCACAGAGCCTTGTGAAACAATAACAGTGAATGTAGGATCAGTCGGTGAGAGCCGTCCCTCCCTTTCTCCTGCTTCCGGCACGGTGTGACTTTGTATTCCATTCTAGAAATGCCTTGGCCACAGCTTAAATTTGTATTGTGAGAGCATTTCTTCCGCCATACTTCATGCAGTGATACCAACTTCCTTCTCAATCTCTTCTTTGCTCCAACTCCACTTATCCTGCAGGTTTTTGTCAAGAGACTGCTCAATGATATCCTTTCCCCACCAATCTCCCCAGCTTGTCAAGAAGATCTGATCCGGATCACTAGGGAAGTCAGATCGAGTGAATGCAGCCAGGATGCTTTGTGCGCCTATCACATCCTATTAGCTTTCGCTCTCAGTATCAACTGTATAACAAAATAGCAAACGCACCTGTTTCAATGGGTTTCGCATCGGGCATATCCATAGAGAGCTGCAGTCCATTACCTCGGCTGAGGCCAGTGTTTGGAATCAAGCCAGGTGAAACAGCGACGACGTCACACTGGCCGGCCAGTTGACGGCGCCACCAGTGAGCATTCAGAAGCTGGACGAATTTGGTGGCACAGTAGACATTCATGCCATCCGCACCAGAGGCGCTCTTCAGCATATCGTCAAGGACACCTATGGGAAGCGATAAAGGTGAGTATGGGGGTTGATGAAACACATGAGCTTCAAGGGCAGAATGATTCACTCACTGGGGTCAGTTATGCGACGGATTGCTCCAGAAGAGACAAAGACGATGCGAGACTTTGACTCGACAAGCTTCTCTCTCAGTATATGAGTAAGATAGTGTTGTGCTATGAATTCATTAGCCACTAATACAACTGCTGGCGGCTGAAAAGAACTCACAGAAATGGTTCACCACCACCGACTCGCACCATCGCCAGCCCTTGGGGCCAGGCTTCTCCGCACCATTCGTGATGGCTGCATTCAGCAACAAATAATCGATCTTATCACCTCCAATCTTCTCCAACGCCTGCTGCGAAAAAGACTTGACTGTCCTCACATCTGAGAGCTCCAGCGGCAGGACGGTCACGGCGTGGCCAGAACGGTCATAGGCCAAATCATCAAAGGCAGCAATAGTGCTCTTCGTGTTTCGGGCACCAAGGATGACTTTGTATGGCTGAGTTTGCTGGAGGAGCAGCTGCTTGATGGCCTCGAAGCCCTGGAGTTGAGTCAATTAGCGGGCGAGTCAAGGTTTAACGCATGCATTGACGGATCGCTCCACTTACAAGGCCTGAAGATGCGCCAGTGGCAACGACGGTTTTTGCGATGGTAGCCATTATAAGATGCAATCGTGGGGTATCGAGACAGTTTGGAAGGGCCAGATAATAGTGTGTTGTTTTGCACCTTGAGTTCAATGTTGATAGTGTCTGAGTGATGGCATTGGACAGTAGACACAAGTTTGAATCGAGTCTACTTGAAAGCTAAATAAATAGTAGTTGGTACCAGTCCGGAGAATACAATCCAAGTCCAGCCATTGATCCTTCTATCGGCCTTTAGCTCTTTAAGGCCGGGCTGTCGCTCTCAGTCTTATTCATCCTTCCCCACCTCGCAGCGACTTCCGAATAGAGCATCACCATTTCAAGGCCTGAAACCATTCATCAGCATTTTAGTACTTGGAAATGCTCCGCCGCACGTGTTCATCTTTGTGATTTATAATAACCAGAGCGGAGCAAGTGATCCTGTTCCGCTCTGCCACAGACAGGAGAGTGAGGCGGCACTTGATGTCCAATCATTCCAATAGCTTTGCTCTTGGTGCCAATCTAGTGTTGTGGGCCAGCTCCGCTAGAGGACGGGAAATGCCTTAGAGGAGCGGAATATTCCATCTCAAGGGCCGCTGACAGGGTGGAGCTGAAAGGTCCTGTCAGATGTTTAATTCAGGATCTCTCATGCTGAAACTACATGTATTCAACCTCCAGACAACTTCACAAACTTTATTATCAGGTACACACGGTGCTTGCAACTACAGGTTACCGTGAATTAATCAATGCTTGATGACGTTGGTGTTGAGCATACTCAAATACACTACATGTAGCTTTCCCATTCCAGCAACCCCATCAGGTGGGTAAGCATCTCGGTTTGCATCTTTACCTGGCGTCACCCACTGTTCTCATTCTATCCATTCTTGACAACAAGCGCTCGAAAGAACTTTTCTTTTGTTGAAGTCCCTTTTTTTAAACGAATAGCAATAAATGTCGACACATTGGGCATTTCCGACCAGCTTTCAACGCGTCACACAATATTCGTTCTCAACTATGGCGCAGACTATAGCACATAAACAGAACTTAACCAGAGGTTTCGAACCTTCTTGCGCTTCATACATATATCTTTTCATTATGATTTATCGATGACATACACATATACATTAAACCATCTTCAATTTGCCATATACAACACGCGGTTGCGTCAGCAGCCGGATGCAAAGCCCGTAACCATTCAATCTTCTAATCTTGCATCCTTCAACTCTACCACCACCAGTGACATGCTGATAGGCCGTATGTATGCACGGGACGAATACACTGAGCAGCACAGCCAGTCACGGCATTTCAGACCCCACCACACTCATCGAGATCGCAAACCCCCACGCAACTCATATCTACCCTATTGCTACAGTACAATCCGCCGGCTTTCTTCTTGTTCACAAATAAATCGAGCTGACAAAATGCTGGAGACAAAAAAGCTCGTATGTTATCATAGGTACGACTATTTGAAAGGATATGTGCCGATGTATCCTAGAATCGCCACAACAAGAGAAAGCGAAAAAAGAAAATCGACAAATACTTGTCACTGGTGTCCTTCCATATGTAGACAAGACAGCACAGATATACGCGCGATAAGTAATACCGCAGAGCTAAAAACAACTATCTAAGGATGGTCATAGTGGCTGACCATAGTGAGACAGCGGCCAAGATGAGATCCGTCAATCGGTAACCAGCAGACATCCAAATGGGGAAAGTTGCAGTAAATACACGCCTAGGGGTCTGTCAAGTTATGGTAACGGTTGTCAGCATGCATCGGCGCAGCAGACACCAAAGGATCGGCCAGAGGGGAAGTGCCAGAGGGGAAGTTTATAATTAAAGGAAAAGGAAGTAAGTGAACAGAGCATCAACCAGAAGTCCTATGTATACAACAATCGTATCGTACAACGTATTGAACTTCTCCACAATATAGAAAGAGAGAGGAGAGAGTGAAAGATTAGAAACGTAGGAAGCGAGCTGCCGTATCAACCGGCCACCTCATAGCTCTCTTAGAAGAAAACATATATACCAAAAATCAAGCACATCATCTTTAGCACCTGTGTTTACGCGATGAGTGTTTGAAAGTACTGGCTACTATCCAACCATCGAGTTGCTTCTTGTTCAGGACGCGTGCTGCTAATAAGAGGTTCCATTACATACCTATCATTGACGGAATCTTGGTGGAACACACCATGTTTGTAAGGCTTCAGTACAATCAATTATAAGCGATGAGACGATGTCAACAGCGATTAGGCAGAGTCCAGGGATTAAATAGGATCAGCAGTGTGCATTTGGACTTGACTCTTCCTCGACGGTCGTAGTTGTGTGTCTACGACATCATCCGCTGGACCTTCCATAATGGGAAGCTGGAGCTTTCAATAAATTATTGTAATCTTGATGCCACTTGAGGTAAGGCACTGAATACGTATTATTGACCACCATGTCGCTACATATGTAAGAGGATGAGCGGAGCCAAAGTGGTGAGATGGATAGGGGTAGGAGAAACTTTAAGTCTCCAAGCGCAAGTATAAAGCAATGCTCAATACCCTTTTGCGTATTATATCAGAGCAACACTCAAGAGAGGTTACCTAGTCATACCCGGTAACCTGTCAATAACGGGAACCGGTGAAAAGATGCAGATGGAATCCGTCAAAAGACACCAACGGCCTCTCTCAAGTGCTTATGCGTACACGTGTACACTTGATTGCCGATCAAGAGAGCCTGTCTTCTGGTTTCCACCTTAGTTAGTACATTTGAACCATGTCCTCCGCTGGTAGTTTTGATAGTGGCATAGAGCCGGTCAACGTCTTCGTGAAATGACATATCAACAGGGCATCGAGTAATCTAATCCTCTGAGGCCAACAAAGAACCGTGGGAAGATGCAAGCAAAGAGAGTATTTATCCGTGTTCCAATAGGCTAATGGCACTTTACTCCGCCTCTTTAACCCTAATCTAAGTTGAAAAAAGTCTAATCGATTTCTTTTGGTGTGGATCTATTTTGAGAGACATCACATGTCAGATCATCGCGAAATACTAGTAACATCAGCACTCAAACTAGATCTCACTACAAATGTTCATATAACCTCCCAACAAACGCCCCCTGCCCATTGTAGTTATAATAATAGCCTTTCTCCAAAGCATCCCCGCATATCCTCTTTTTCAATAGGTTGAGGTCAGACCACATGCAGAGTGCCACACTCTCTAGATTGTGCGTGGTTTATCATCTTGCAGCTACTGCCTACTAGTAGTTTGCTCCTCAAATATCCGGAATACCGGAATATATGACAACGGCCCTTCTTTGGATAAATGGTAAAAAGGGATGAGCATGAAAACACCTCATATACACTTAATTCGCAAATACTACAGTTAGGTGCAACTACAGACGGCTGCATGAGGTTACAACACCCCCTATGATGAGTGGTGGCCTCCCCTGCAGGAGGATAAGGGATGAAGTTGAAGATTATGAATCTCTTGTCCTTTCTCGGACAAGCGAAGTAGGCAAATACGTGTCTCGTTGTCTCGGTTTAGTCACAGATAGCGATCTTCCGTTCTTTCATTGGGTCTCTGGAAAGTCGGTACAAAAACTATCAAGTTGCAGCTCCACAAGGTGGGTAGTAGGACCTACATTCTTACCCCAAGATAAGGGGGCGGTCACACTACATAACATAAGTTTATCCAATATATCAATCTCCTGAGGAGCTAAATGCTCATTGAGATAAACAAGTTTATCCATGAAAGATAACCCGAGCAATTTCATGCCCTCTA